CAGGCAAAGCATGAAGGCAGCTGTGTGGCTTGGCTTCTTTGCCCTGAGAGACAAATTAAAATTCAATCTGAAATGTCCTTGTAACATTCCAGTGAGGCAGATTTCAGAAAGTTTATATGATCGATTACTATTTATTTTGTATTTATGTAAATAACCAGGCCAAAATGAAACGGGACTTAATGCAGTCTCTTTGATAAAAAATGAGGGTAATTTCAGGGAGAGAAATTGTGTTCTTCTGAAAATTAGTATACCCAACTGTGGATATTGGACTCCAGTTAAAGTTTTATTTTTCACCTACAAACTGAATTGGATCCTGAATTTTTATAGTTTTCTTTTAAGCTACTGTTTTATTTTTCATTCATCCTTTGATTTAGAGTTATTTAGAACTAGTGATGCAGTGTGAACCATACATAATTTACCTGAGCATCTGATGATATCACTAGACATTTAAACCACAGGTAAAGAGGACCTATTAGATTGTCACTGCTTACTTTCATTTCAGCAAAAGTCTTACATTTGGAAGGCTTCTCATCTGACATTCTTACAGGCTCAGAATCTGGTTTATGATTTACTGTGCTTTTAATCTTTGTGTTCTGCCTTTGTAGAGTATATACTAAGACCTTGTTTACCTGATTACTTGTTTAGACACTATAAGCCTTATTTTAGATGCCCATGGGCATTGCCACCTCCTGAAATGAGACGCAATGATTTGGCTGAATGAACTTGTTGTCAGGACTAGATGGTGGAATTGGATACCATTCCATACAAAAATGATGATGCTTTGGGGATTCCAGCCTATTCCTGCTTTGGAAAAATCTAACAGACTTTCTGTTCCAGTTTCAAATCCCACTCCCTTGTCTCTCTTATATCAGGCAGGGAGAGACTTCCATACTCTTCATGGGCAGTGACTATGGCTCTTATCAGCAGGAAGCAGTTATCGATGAGAGAATCAACTCTCTCATCACCCCTAAAAAATTTTAGGGATGGAAGTCTCTGAGAGGGGAGTGAGACAGGATAGTAGAAGCTAGGAAATTCCTGGGCAAGTGGGATGTGGAAACTGAGATGAGAGAATTAAACAAAGCCAAACAGTTAAGCACAAGACCTCATCAGAGAATGCATAACCTCCCTGGGTATAAACCACAGGACTCCAGGGAAGAAAGGAAGAGTCCCTTGTCTATGAATTTTTCTCTTTCTTCTCTCTTCCTTCTCCTCTCTTCTTTTTTATTGTTTTGGTCTACATGGCCTCATATTTATTAATGAACCAACCTACTACAGCAGAAAAAAATCAACAGAGAAAAATATTTTTTCAATAATTTTCCAATTAAAAGGCCCAACTGTCCAGACACTAGTGCATTTTTTAGCAATTTCAAGTGTCAGACAACCTGGATGGAACATATAACCATGTCTTATGTGCCATTCCTCATAAACCCAGTTGGGTTCTTCTCCAATGTCGCCTCTTGGAGTTGTACCTGGTCTTATTACCAGTGTTCATCTGAATCAATTGAGAAATGGGGCCAAGTCAGCTGCTGTTTCTTCACCAGGAACCTCTGGGTCCTGAAAGTCTCGTGAGAAGACATGGTGAGGAAGGACCAACGGCATGGACCACGATGGTGGAGACGGACAGGCTCCTGTGTCCCTTCTCTTTCCGGGCTTCAGAATAGAGAGACAAAAAATATTGGACACAGCAGAACATTCCAAGTGACATGGAGGTCAGGGCGACACATTAAATAAACTGCCTTTGAATGGCTTCAGCACCAGGGTAAGGAAAACGGTTGAACAGAGACTGGCAGGATAGGCTAATCCATGTTCTGCTTATCTATTGCTGCACGGAATTATATGAAAACTTAGTAGCTTCAAATAATATTTATCTGGCTCACAAATCTGAACTTGGGCAAGGCTAGGTGGGGAGAGTTCTTCTCTGCCGGAGAGAGTGGGAGCCACTCTATAAATATAACCTAACCCCAGGAGCCAGGTAGTGTCATTTCTACCACATTGTATTTGTTAGGGCAATAGAACAGCTTGTACCACTAACCACTGCACCACCCTGCCGCGGTTCTCAGATGCCTTTTCGTGGAACAGGCCTCCTTTCATGGGCCACAACATTTGTCACAGGGAGTGTGGCTCTGTGCTCTGTGCCTGCCCAGGGCCGAGGAGGGTTCTGCCAGAACCAGACCCCTGGTTTCATTTTTGAACAATATTTTCTGTGCCTGGAAAGAAGCCCATGGTGTCAGGCTCAGCTTTGGGTCCATCTCATCCAGGGCCTGTTCTAGAGACGTGGTGGGGAGTGGGAGGTAGAGGCTGCTCTGCTGAACAGGAAAGAACAACGAGTCTACTCTCTGATACCCAGGAATCTCCTGAGAAGAGTGTAATGTGGAAATGATATTTTCCATGGAGTGGCCCATTACCCCAAGGAGCCCAGGTGTTGCAGCAAAATCACCGAGGCAGCCAGAGGTGGCTTCAAGTCCACGCTGTTCCTTCTCTTGCCCGATGGATGACCCTGAGCAGATTACTTCACCTCATGACCCTGTTTCTCCCTCTATAAATGGGTGTAGAAATACTTGTCTCACAGAATTTGTCTGGTATGAAATGAGAGAATATAGGTAAAGCACCTCGCATGGCCCTGCCACTTAGGAGGCGCTCAGTGGTGTTCTGTCGCTTTGCTCTGGCCTGCTGGTGCGCCCAGAACTAGACCCTGTACCCTCTGACCAACACATAACAGTGTGGGGCTTTCACCTCCCTGGCATCTGGACACTCTGCGTCTAGTAATGCAACCTGAGTTTATTATTTTTGGCAGCCGTATCTCAGTGGTTTTCACCCATTTAAGTCCTACTTTATTTCCACATGGGGCAGCTGCTCCACAGTCCCTTCACTGCAGCCGTCTTAATGGGACCGGCTGCAGACAGGGATGGCTGTGGTGCTCAAGAAATAGGGCAAATCCCCGGCCCCATTCTCCATTCCCCATTGCCACGGAAGGCTTGCCCAATCCACCCAACAGAGGAGGTAAGATTAGGAAACCAGGCCCTCTGAACCCCCCTTCCCAGCCCTCCCTAATCCCATGATGTGTAGGCTCAGCCACAGGCTCAAGGGGATAGACAGTGGACGGTCAGTCCTACTCGGTGATGTGAGACGGATGAGCCTGCGTGCGGATGTTCTCAGGTGCTGCTCTGCCGCCTGGCCTAGAAACTTACAGAAATGACTGACAATTAAATGTTTTAAATTTATTGATTGGAGAGAGGCAGAGATAGAGAAACATCAATTTGTTGTTCTACTTACTGATGCATCCATTGCTCATTTCTTGCATGTGACCTGACCGGGGATCAAACCCATGACTCTGCATACTGGGATGACGCTCCAACAAACTGAGCTACCTGGCCAGGGCAATTTTTTTTTTTTTTAAAGGTGGGAGGGGGTGGGAGGTGGAAACCTGCACCCACATTGGGATCCAGAGAGCGTCGTGGGCCACTGCGTGAGACAAACACTGAAGAAGACCCACTGCTGGAGCCCCACTTGGGCCGGGGAGAAGGGAGGCATCGGGGTTACAGTGCAGCTTCCCTTCCGGGAACAGGCCTGGTGTCTCCACCTCATGCTGAGCGCTTCACACGCTTCATTTATCCCATCTTCACAGCAAGTAGGCCAGACAGCAGGAGCCCACTTTCTTCAAAAACAAGGACAGGGGCCAGCAGCTGTGCGTGCTGGCTCCAGGCAGGGTCTTAGCACCTCCCAGCCCCGGCTCTCCTGGGCTCCACCTCCTGGTGATGTCCCTCTGCCCACATCTTACCTGGATGCCTCCTGAGCGCGACCCCTCCTCTGACCCCCAACCATAGGGTCACCTTCTCAGTGAATGAGTCCATCAGTCACAAAGGCAGACATTTGGGGGATTATCCTGAATGCTCACCTCTCCCTCATATCCAGTCGAAGGTCTTTTGGTGATCTCCTGCCTCTAGTTTAGTTCTGCCCCAACCCATCCTATGTAGCTAAAACTTAAATCTGATTATGGTCCTCCTCTGCTCGAGAATTTTCAAGGCTCCCCAGGGCTGTCCTTTAAAGCTTAAACTCAGTGGCTTGGCACCTACAGGGTCCTCTGCAGATTCATTCTACACCCGGGTTCCATTTTACAACAGCTGAAATACTCATGACTTTGGAGCGTACCGTGTATTCCCAGAGCCTCGGCCTATGGCATTCCTGCAGGGTAGAATGTCCTCCTTCTGCTTATATGCACCAGACACATTGCTCACCCTTCAAGTCAGCTCCAAGGCCACCTCTTCCACGAAGCCTGCCAGGCAGACTGAGAGACCCTTCCTTGGGCCACTCACTGGCTCATGGCTGAGGGCAAGGGCACTGCCTTTTTATCTGTGTCCCATCTACTGAACACAGTAAGTAGATGCTCAATAAATTGTCTGCTCTATACATCTCCTGACTTCTGATGAGGAGATTCCAGAGTCTGAGTCCTGGACCCACTACCTGTGGCATCTTAAGTGAGGCCCTTTAACCTCTCCGTGCCTCAGTTTCCTCAACTGAAACTCCAACAGTTCCTAACTCGTGGTGTTGTGAGGGTTAGATGGTTAGATGATACAGGGATAGCACCTCCCAGGCTCAGAGAAAGGGGTCCCACAAATGTTCACCTCTCCCAGGTTTCCCATCTCCTCCATCTGTTTCGCTTACCCAACCTCTCAGGCACCTCGCTGTTACTGGCAAGGAAGGGCTCCTAGAAATTAGATAAATGACCACTCCCCCCACTAACCCAGGCTTCTACAAGGCAAGAGCACCTCTAGCTGAGGAGACACGACTCCCAGCTGTCACACCGGGGGCTGGATGACCTTCCCTGTGCACCATGCTCTTCCCTCTCCATTCTTCCATCTGTTTAGAACTACCTGCCCTCGAGGTCCACACATAACTTCTCTTCCTCTGGAGGGCGCTCCCCCAATCCTGCCCTCCCATGCCACCCGGCTGAGCAGTCCCCCAGGCCCACCCGACTGACCCAAGCAGACACAAGCCCCAGACACCTTGGTATATTTTTATTCAAACTCCAGATTCCCAGGCCTGGCCTGGCAGAGAGTATGTTCTTGCCGGTGGCAAAAAGTGATACAGCACGTCCGTTAATACTAATCATTTTAATTTAAATTAATAGCATTTCTGGAAGACAAATGCAGTTGATAGAAAATATAAAAACTTTTACTGTACAAATTTTACATCACATTCAAAAACGCAAGTGTGTGCCTTGTGGCCAGAGACTCGGGGTTTGCACGCACTGACGAAATCCTGGCGAACGGCGCAGAACCCCAGCAGCCCCCTCCTGGGTTTCACATTCACGTCTCCACCTGGCGCCCAGATCAATACAGAACAGAGGTTCACAGGGCATCCCACCGGCTCTGAGGTCACAAGAAATGCCAGGAGGGGCAGAGAAACTTCAGGGCCCTGCAAACATCTTTCATTTGGCAACACGGAGAAGTCAGCCTTGCTACCCACTGCTCCCAACAGGGACCTCGCCAGGATTCAAGACCTCAAGATGGGTGCAGACCCAATGGTTGCGACTCTGGTGGTTAAAGGCAGCAGGGACAGACCCCAGGGTTTGGAGGTGAGGCTGGGAACGGGGGAGCCCTGAAGGACCAAAGTGCAGGCTGTACGCTCAGACCCCAGCGGGGCCTCTGCAGCCCCCACTACTCTCACCATGGAGACCCTCCCAACTTCCCCTTCACAGCTGGCCATTCGGGCTGAATTCACAGTATCTGCCATCCTTCACGTGTTTCCAAGGCAGATGAGAGCACACGGAAGGGCAAGCGTGTCTTCCTAACCTCATTCACAGTCAACTAGAGAGAGGGAGAAGGGGGCCACATGGGGGTTTCCTCAGGAGCTTCTGGTAAATGACAGGGAACGCTCAGGCTAAGTGGCTGCCCAGGGCCTTGGAAAGGAAGGGGGTGACCCCAGGCCCTCAGCTACACTCTTGGGGCTCCTGGCAGATCATCAGTTCCCTAAGGGCGGGGACTGTGACCGCTCCGACCCCAGGCCCCCAGCACTTGCACAAGATACGGTAGGTGCTCGATGAAAGCTTCTTGAACTGACCCCCAGGTGTGACACTCACGAGAAAAAACAAAGCTCGGACTGGCTTTCTGTGGGCTGAGAGTCGGGGCTGGGGAGGTGCAGAACCCGACCTGCTCAGCTGCCATCCAAGTCCTGGGCCCCCAGCATGGCCACGGGTTCGGAGGGCAAGGTTGACAGGCAGCAGACACACGAGGTGGCTTTGGGTGGGGAGATCGTGCAGAGGGCTGGCAGGGGAGGCCGAAGGCATGTTGGGGAGAAACGATGGTCCCGCAGAGAACAGAACCCCATGAATCGAACTCACTGGCTTCCGGCTCCCATCGAATGCCCTGCACACCGAGCAGGGGAGGGCGCGCGCGTCTGGCGCACTGATGGGCAGCAGGAACCTGGGTCCCTCTCGCTGCCTCACAGCTGTGTGGTCACAGCCAAGGGATGGTGGCCTAGGGAGGGTGAGCTAGGGAGGGGGACACAGCCCACAGGTCCACGATCTTCCGGCCAGTCTCCAGGGAGGGCCCTGGACATCAGGAGCTTTACTAGGTGCATCTGAATGGAAGGGGCCACACGCCTCCCCATCTGGGCTCAGAGCACGGACACCTGTTCTGGGCCTAAATCCGACCACCTGGCCATTCTCCTCCCCCTTGGTCAGTCCTGGTGTCGGAGCCAAACACGATGGAACACCCACCAAAGGGCTTCTTCGCCACTTGAAACTTCTCTCTTCAGGCAACAGCTTCCAGCGAGGACAGGCCAGGTGCTCTCCCGTCACGGACTCCCCCAGATGGAGCCCTTCCTTCCAGTTCAAGCAGAAGCCTGGCAAGCAGGCCTCGGGAAGGCTCTGAAGACTGTGGGGCTCACCGGGTGGCTCTGAATGAAAGGGGGGACACATGCCTCCCTTCTTAGCTCTGGACATGGGCGGGGGGAGCCAGGAATGGGCTGAGGGCTTCAGCAGGGCTGGGGAAGTGGGAGAGGTGGGCAGGTCTGGAGCCTTGGGTTCCTAAGGGGCCAGCCAGGTTGCCCTGGGGCTGGGAGGGTGGCTGCTGCTGTTCCCTCCCCTGCACCTGCCTTGTTCTCAGGGAGCCTTCGTGGCACACACAGCCTCAGCTCTGGGGCCACGTGTCAGTCAGGGGCTGGGACGTGTCCAAAAGTGGAGGCGTTTCCTTGGTGCCTTCCTCAGGGCTTCCTGAAGGGAACATCTCTACAGACAATGGCAACCCCAGTTAGGAACCCGGGGTCAGTGCAGATGCCACTTGGATCTTATCTGTCTCTAAGTTTCCAGCTTGTATGGGCTGCACTGCAGGGGTCAGGGGTTCTCTCTGGGATCTGCTGACCTTCGTAATTTAGCTCGGCTCCTAGCCAGGGCCTGCTGTGCGAGAGGAGAGAGGCCTCTTTGTCAGGGTGAGGGGCAACCCCTGCAGAGGGAGACTCCCAGCTGACGGGGTGTGAGGCCAGAGCAGGGGCCAGAGCAGCAGCCAGGCCCGAGCCTGTGGTCCCCCCGTACCACCCCAAGAACGTCCGCAGTCACAACGCGCTTCCTCCTTCTGGCCCCGTGCGGGCTCACTGCCTGCAGGGCTCTCCAGGGGCACGGCCACTTCCACTGCCCCGGCCGAGGGTGCCAGCGCACAGCCTGGCATTATTATTACCTATTTGCAAAACAGCGAGTTCGCTCCGCAGAAACATACATGTAAACATTTGCTGCCTGTGGGGACAGGTCTGGTTGTTGGCGATGTCATTTGAGGGGCAGCAGGCAAGGCTCCATCTCCGGGACCAAAGTGTTTTTCGAGAACGAATGCTCTGAACTGAGGACTCTCGCTCCCGCCCTGCGGCGCTTCAGAGAGAGGCTGCCGTTCGCAGAGCGCTGCCTTCTGTGGTGGAGGATGGGGTGTTTTAGAAACACGCTGAAGGAAAAAGAAACCATGGAAAAACCGCACAGCTGGCTACATCTTTGGATTGCTGGACTCCAGGACGCCCGGGCCAAACCTTTCAAACCGGGGCACCACTTTGCTGCTGTTGATGCTGCAGAGAGGGACAAAGACAAGGGTTACGGCCCTGTTGGTCTTGATCGGCACTGCGGGGGGGCATCAGCGCAGGAGCGGCCGGTTCCAGAAGCTCAGCAGAGGGCCCAGCCCACCAAGAAGGGAGGATGATTCCACCGCTGAGCTGCCCTGGTCAGGCCTGGCTGGGGGGCCGGGCCTCGGCCAGGCCCTCCTCCCAGAGGGGAGGGCGGGGCTTGTTTATCTCGGAGTCCCCAGCACCCATCAGGCCCAGTGGGGTCGCCTGAACTGCAGTCTCCTTTGCCGCCCAGGAAAGCTTTAGCTCCAGGAGAAACTGGGAGAGAGGAGCAACCTGACCCCCAGAGATGACGGAGACATCACGTGTCCCTTTTAGACACGGTCCTTCTGCCCTGGAGAGCATCGGGGCCACCTGGGGAGCAGGTTGAAAGGTGGGTTGCCAGAGCCTGCCTTCAGAGACCTGGATTCAGGTCTTGGGGCCCTGGGAATCTGCATTTAGTAACCACTACCGTGATTGTGTGCATGCCACACTCCTGACGAACGCTGACTCGGGGTCCGGTACTTTCCATCTGCTCTGGGCAGATGTAAAAAGTAACACTGAGGGGCAGGAAGGGGCAGGAGCTTTGTTTTACTAGTGAAATTGTTTGGAGACAGGCCACCCCTTGCTGTAGGACCACATTCCCGAGTGTGCTGCTGAGGACACTCCCACGCCGGCATCTCTTATGGGAACAGAACTTATGGTGTCCACACCAACAGCCCTGCAGGGGGGACTGGCCCTGCGCAGCTCGGAAATCATCCCACTCCCTGCTGGACAGGATCCCTGCGGGTTAACAGCCAAGCCAACCCCGGCCCCCAACCCCGGCCCCCGCCCCTGTACTTGGAACCCAGCCACTGGGAGGCCAACTTGCTGGCTGGCAGGGGGTTGGGAGGAGGGAACAGATCTCACTGAGCTGTTAGTAGGGAGACAGGAGCACCCAAACAAAAAACGATACCACCCCGCAGAGGAACAGCTAGAGAGGATGGAGTCAGGTCCAAGGAGGCAGTTCTGGGGGGATTTGTTAGGGGATCTTCCCTGGAGATCAGTTATTGAGGCGCACACAGGCCGTGGAGAGGAAGGGGCCAGTTTTAAAAACAAACAAAGCGAAAGAAGTCTCAGGAGAGAAGTTGGAGCAGCAGAGGTGGCGTCCCCTGGGTTAGTGCCAGCATCTCAGTTTGCGTCTGAGCAGAAGTCGAGGTGCTGAGTGCCGATTAGGAGGAAGAAAGCCCCAGGCACATGCGAGGCGGCCAGGCCTACAACCTAGGGGAGGAAAGAGAAGGGGAGAGCAGCGTAAGAACTGAGCCCCGTGGGGCAGGGTGGGGGCTTGGGAGCGGCCAAGGCCTGGCCAGATGGCAGGGGACCCTCTTTCCCTGCAGAGAGAGAAAGGGGCACCCCTGCTCCATTCCAGGCTGGGCAGCAGCGTGCACAAGGCACGAGGAGCCCTCCCCGAACTCCCGGGGTCCCAGTCACAGGACATTATACAGAAGCTGGCCAGTGCGTCCTTTGCCCTTCAGTCCCTGACTTTCAAATAGACTCCCTGGAGCTGATTATCTCTGTTCACTGCGCTCCCCTCTTTAAACTCTGAGACGCGACGAATCTCCTCACAGCTGTGCCATTGGCTGTCTCTCTCAGCTCAGCGAGAGAAGTACGAGCCTGCAGATCCCTTGCTGGTGGCCTGACAGCCGCAAAAGCATCCCTTTGGTTTATGAGGAAAAAACACACAAAGATGAGGTAGCTGGATGCAGGCAGAACAGGATGCAGGGTGCGCCAGGGGTAGCTGCAAACGGGCAGAGCAGGAGGGAAAGAGCACAAGACACACTATTCCTCCAGAACCGGGCAGGAGCTCTTAAAGTCAGGGTGGCCGTAACGTCCTTTCCCGTAGTATCGGCTCCGCCAGCGACTGGGAGTGGCCCCGCGATCATTTTGCCAGATGTGGGAAAAGTGAAGTCCAGCAGGTGATGGAGTCGGGCCCCCAGAGCACACGGGTTGAAGAGGAGCCCCAGGAATCAGGACGGCAGGGACAGGGGGAGATGACAGGACAGGCCATCGCATCAGCCACCCCCCGAAAATAAAAAAGCAACAAGACCGATGGAAAAGAAAAAGAAAAATGAGAATTAGAGGCTGAGTGTGCAGAAGTCACAATCATGTACAGAAAGCTCTGACACGGGCTCATTCAGGTGCGCCGGCATTTTCTTTAAGAGGCTAAAGCTGATCGTGTTGGGCCAGACACAGCCCTCGTCTGCGACTCAGTTTGCATCCGTGAAATGAGAAGGTGGGGCTCTCTGGTCTCTAGGAAATCTGGGACCAGCTCCTGAATGCCAGCAGTCACCTAGCGCTGCTTTCTCTCTTGTAGATGAGAAAGCCGGGCCCAGACTGGTAAAGGAGTTGCCCGAGGTCTGACGAGCCCGATCCTTGAACTTCCTGCATGTCCGGAACCCCCAGCTCCTGGCCACTGCCGGGACAGCCCCTGCTCAAAACCCAGCTCCAGTGGCCTCTTCTGGAGACCCTCCCCCAGCTCCCTGGGTGGGCAGAGGCTCCCACAGAGGCTGTGCTTTCTCGCAGCCCTCAGCATGTTGCCGTCATTCCTCCACTCGCTCGGTAAACCCACTGGATGTCGGCTGAGAAACTACTGTGTTCCCAGGGCCATGAGAGGAGCTGGGAATACAGAGGTGACCAGACAGAGTCCTGCTGTACAGACTTACAGCGTCTGTTTGCTTGTCTTCACCCCCTGGGACTGTAGACACTCGGGGGTGTTAGACTGTAAACTCCTCGCTGGCCGACGCCTGGCCTCGACCTTGTCTCCCTGGGTGTGGAGCAGGTACTCAGCAATGGCTGGGTCGAACCCACACATCCAATGGCAACATTCTGTCACCCCTGTTTGTACTGGATCCTGACTCATCTTAAGAACAAGAGAGTAAATCTAATTTTGCATCCGGAAATACAGTATTCCCTAACCACTCATGGTCATTCCTCCAGACCATCCCTGCCACTGGCCTAACAAATTTACTGCGTTTCTTCAGGTTCTGCCTCTTGTGGAGTCTGGTCTTGCAACCCATTCTGGGCCTTACTTCACCTGCAGCTTGAAGCTGGTTTGCTTTGTTTTCAAGACAGGAGCTAGCAAACTATGTGTAAGCCACATCTGACTACAAAAAGGCTTTGCCTATTTTAAATAGTTGTTACAGAAAAAGAAAAAGAAAAAACAACAACTACCACTAACATGTCAGAGACCCGCAGGCCGCACACACTCAGTACCTGGCCCTTTCGAGAGCGAGAGCAGTGCTGCTGGACCCGCACACCTGGGCAGCAGGTGCGAGGCCCGGGCGCTGCAGGTGCCCACGCAGGTGCGTGGTGACTGGCACCACAGGGGACAGGCTCTTCGACTGTCTGTGTTCTAGGGCTGTAGGAGATTTCGCTTTCAGAAAGTGCTCTTTGCCTTTTAAAAGGTTAAAGCAATGTACCTTGCCCAGAGGCTCAGCCACACAGGGCCCGCCACGTGCTTCTGTGCCATCCACAAGCTAAGAATGATTTCCACCTTTCTAAATGATCGGGGGTGGGGGGCTCAAAGGTAGAGTTCGTGACAAGTCAGAATTCCACGGAATCCACGTTTTGGTGTGGCTGCAGCTGGCCGCCCCCACAGCAGAGACTGCGGCACCGGGTGGCAGGGATGGACATGGAGCTGCCGTCACGGCTCCACACTGTCCCAGCGACAGCAGCTCTGACTCAAATTTCCCTCTGAGCCTGAAATACATCCCACGTGGCCTTTTACAAATGTGGGTGCCCCCCAGTCCTCACACCCCCCACTCTTTAAAGCTCTGGAAACTGAGGCCCACAACAAGGAAGGCCTTCCCGAGATGCTCACGCAGCGTGTGTTCTCACAGAGGAGGCCGGAGGGCGAAGGAGAAAGGGAGTGAGGCAGAACAGGGAAGAGATGGCGGGTCTCCACGGCCCATGGAGGCCACTCCTGCTCCCTGGGGGGCAGAGGGCTGTGTCATTACACAGAAGCAGGGACAGGCTGCCAGCACTGAGGTACCGCATGAACCCAGGCCATGAGGTCCCCCTAAAAGGTAGCTGATTGGGGGACTAGAAAGCTCTGTCTTGAGTCTGCGATACTTTAAACCACAGCCACTCTGCTGATTCTGGTACCCTGGTTGCTCTGACTGCCAGCTGGCCCCGCCTGGCCCTGTCCTAGGGCAGAATCTTCTCGTCTGGGCCCAGCCTGGGCCCGCATCAGCACTGCCCCGAGAACAGCAATAGGTGAGTGCCCAGAGGAGAGCTAGAGATAGCCACCCATCCAAAAAAGTCTCTGAAATGAACACAGTGAATGAGATCTTGGCATCACTGGGGAGGCACGAATCACCCCTGGCTAATCTGCTCTGAGCATCCCCAAACAGTCTTGGGCATACAGGGTGGACGGTGCCGTCTGAGAGCCTGGATGAGGCCGCCCTGGCCGGCAGGTCTGGTCACTGAAGAGGTACTTACTCAGCAGACTTCCAGAAGTGCCCGGGGTGGGAGAGCCGCCGGTTCAGCTTGGGCAGTTTCTCCAGCATGTCCATTAGCAGCGTGAAGCTGGGCCTCTCCTGCAGCTCAAAAGCCCAGCAGGCAGACAGGATCTCCTGCGGACAGAACAGGGGTTAGTTGGTGTGGGAGGGAGCTGCCTGAGAGGGAGGGAGGCACAGCTGGGGCCTCTGCACAGGGTCCCTTTCCTGCTTGTAAGCACCCCCAGTGGGTGGTCCATTGAGCTGAGTGGCCGTTGCTGGAGCAGGGCTGAGAAGTGACTGAATTTCAGAAGAGCTCTCATGCTTGCAGTTCAAAATGAAGTGCACGAGCCTATCCCCCCTTCTTCCTCCTTAGACCTCCCTGAATAACAGTAGAGAAACTGAATAATAGGTAATAGAAAAGACATCAGAAACGAGGCCACACATTCTTGCAACAGGAAGTGGATGGCAGCGTGTGGGCAGGTGAAATGCAGGACGCTCTGAATGTGCGTGGGGCAGGGCGGCAGCAGGAGTGGCCACGGCCACACAGGAATGGAGGCTGCGAGGACCGGACTCAATTCAAGGCGGCAGTGAGCGCAGGCACCACAGCGGCCCCGGGTGTCTCCAGAGCAGACAGAGCCCATCTCCCTCTGGCACACTGCTGCCTACTCTTGGGGTCCACGAGTGGACACGGCACAGCCCTTCAGCCTTTCGAGCTGGGATAACCGCCTGTGGGTAAACAGGACCGCACACACAGCGGGCAGAGGTGCCCGCCTGACAGAGCAGGAAGCGCCCGTCCCCTGAGACTCGGCAACTCAGGCTTCTGTTCAAACATGACTGGACCCCACCGGGTTGCCCCGAGTCCCAGGAAAACAGGAGACTAAAGATGGACGGACCAAACCACCGACTGGAGGAAACCGTGGTGCATGCCTATGAGCGCGTGAAGACGCTACTTTATCCATAAAGCCAGGCCAGGGTGAAATAAAAAAAGCAATCAACAAAGTGGAAAAAATGCTTGCAATTAATAGTGCAACTTCCAAAATAAAACATTTGGTAGACGTACTAGAAAATAAAATCAAGGAAATGCCCCAGATTGTGCTGTAGGAATGGGAAATATGAAAGAAGGTAAAAGACATGGAAATTCCCTAAGAAGGACCCAATTCTGTCTAATGGAAATTTCCACAGAGAAAACCAAGAAGCCATAGGGCAGGAAAAGATAAAAGCCAGAATAAAAGCCAGAATAAAAGCAAATGTCTCAGAAACTTGCAAGAAACAGGGATCTTCAGCGGCCCAGGCCCATTCTGTGCCGCCCAGACACCCCTGCCGTTCTCGGAACACCCAGGCTGGCGCAGCTGCGCCCCTGCCCTGCCTCACCCGCGGTTACCACTGACTGCACCGGGAGTCGACCTTGGGGCTCCCGGCATCACAGTGTCAGGGCCAAGGCACCTACAAACTGCAACTCGGAGAAACCATTAAAGGTACGCGGCCACATGAGGTCGGCAACGGGACGATGACTCAATATTTTAAAACCAAATTTTCTGCAGAAACTTCAGTCAGTTCTTGAACCGCAGAGGAAAACGGGGAGGAAGATATGATACTGAAGCACAGCCCCACTATTTGTATCTTGTGCTGTGATTTTTAAAAAATCTTCTTTCCTTGTAACATACAGAGCTTTACTCTCTTTCCAATTTCTAATTCAATTAAACCTATTATCTTTATTTCCCCTTCCAGTCTTTTTCAAAAGACAGTTTTTTATTGTTGTTAAAGAAAAGGGTTAACTGTGGGGTAACAGCGACACAGTCCCTCCTGCCAGCAGGCCCCACTTCTGGGTGAGGGGACAGAGTGCAGCCCAGTCCTGTGCCCTCCAGCGCTCCTTCCCCCTCCCAGAGCAAACAGGTGGCTACTCACAGTGACTTCCTTCCCCAGGCTGACGGAGGCCAGGACCCGCTTCACTCCCTCTCCACTTCCAATCTGCCAGATCAGGGCCTCTGCAGCTTGGTTCTTCAAGGGCCAGTCTCTTGCCTGCAGCTCATACCAAACAGTCCTGTGGAGACCCATGCAGCGTGAGCTCTTGGCGGCTCAGCCCAGCTCACGCCCAGGGGCTCCCGCTACCGCAGCGCCAGGAGCCCAGCCAGAGCCTCCGGACCCTTCCCTAGCCTCTTCACCCACCCGGCTTTGGGAGTGTCGAGAGGGGTCCTCCCAGATACCAGGGGATCTGCGGCACCCCGCTCGCACTGTGTTAAAAAGTCTGAGGCGGTGCCAGCTCTGAACAGAGGTCCCGCTATCACTGTTAACCTCAGTGGGGTGGGTGCCTACGTCCAAGGTTGTCTGAGGAGCAACGAGATGCCAAGCCCAGTGCCTGGCTCACACTGGGCTCCAGAAGCGGTAAGGTCAGGGGACAAGAGACCACCGCCGGGGGAAGCATCCCCGGAGGTTACAGGCTGAGGCCTCACTCGGCCTCTCCGAGCCCGCACCTCTCCCGACTTATCTGGACGGGACTTTCTCGTTAGACCCACACTGTCCAACGTGGGGGCCGCTGAGCAACTGACTGGCGGAGAGTGGAACTGAGTGTGCTGTTAGGAGGGAAATGCACACCGGAGTCTGAACACGTTGTAGGGTAAAAACCTTAAACTTTAATTTTGATTACATGTTGAAATTATCATATTTTGGATGTTTTGAGTTAAATAAAATATATTACTGAAACTGACTCCATGTGTTTTTTTCTTTAACGTGTCCAAGTGAAAACTTTATATATCCGGCTCACATTGTACAGGGAGGGGCAGGAGTAGGTTTACAGTTGTTCGTAGGGGAAATAATGCAATAAAAAAATAATAACGCAGGGACACAACCCCAAACCAACTTTTGCCCACCCTGTGTTCTCTATCTTCCTTTTGGTCAGCTTCACGGTCCACCAGAGTGGCTGGCAGGACATCCCACCTCTCCCACTGCGACAGTTCTTAGCTCTGGTGAGTGTCCTCATGGGCAATAGGTGAGACCAGAAATGACCCAACTTAGTTCCCATGAAGCAACCCTGCAGGGAGGTGCCACTACCCTCCCACTTTACAGGTAGGGAAAGGGAAGGTCAGTAATCTGGTCTCTCACTCAACGAGCCGCAGAGTCAGGGCTCAAAGCACGCCTCCCCGGCCCAGCGGGGCGCTCGCGTTTGGCCACGGTTGGCCTCAGAGCCCCAGGAAGAGGGCCTCCTCACCCAAAGGCATAGACGTCAGCAGCTTTGGAGAATGGCAGCTGGTCCTCGTCTTTCCCGGGGGTCATCTCGCGGACGATCTCGGGAGCCAAGTAGCACAGCCAGTCGTGGGACAGCTTCAGCTGGTTCTCACGCCTAGAGGCCGGGAAGCCAGGGCAAGGACACGGGCCTTTCAGCGGCAGCCCAGGGGCCCGCCTGGCGCTCCTGGGCCCCAGGGCCGGCACGCCACCCACACGCGGCCCAGGGAGGCAGTGCAGACTGCACCGGCGCTTTCGGGGACTGTTACAGAGCAGTGATGACCAGGTTCTTCCAGGAAGGGAGGCCAACAAGGGGTCTTAGCAGGGCACTGCACTTGAAGGTACTGGGGAGACTAGAGTATGTCTGTAAGCAGGAAATCAGATCGGCCTGTGCTTCTCACAGATGCCATTCTGCCTCCTGAGGGTCCCCAGGAGGGGACAGATGCTTGGAGAGGAGCCTTTCTCCCCACCCCTACCCCTTCAAGATTTGGGGAAATAAAACCTGACGTTCTTCCTCATATTGGGGACTTGAACCCTGGTCCTCTGCCCAAGTTGGTAAATGTGAGTGAAGGGACCCAGCTCCGCGGGGGTCACAGCCTGAGAAGCAAGTGTGTCAGGAAACCACACGTCACCCGAGTCGGATCCTGGACCAGAACCACGAGGGCAGGGCCAAAGCAAACCTGGCCTTTCCTCCGGGGAGGGCTGCTCCCCAGCAGCAGAGCGGGAGCGCCCGGCCCACGGCGCTGCCCAAACCGCCGGTCCCGCCAGATGCCGAGGCCTACTCACCGTCCCTCCCGCACCACGCCCGACATCCCGAACAGCCCGAAGTCCGTGATGACCACTTTGCCATTGTCGTAGAAGACGTTCTTGGATTTGAGATCTTTGTGCACGATGCCCTTGGCGTGCAGATACCCCATGCCCTGGAAGACATGCGCCACACGTCACAGGCGGGAAAATGAGTATTGATGACACTGTGCACGCCAGGGCCGCGCACGGAGCGGGGTGCCTTACCCAAACCCCCTCGTGTAACCTTCACAGTGTCACTCAGGGGAACCGGCTTCATTTACAGATGAGAAAACCAAGCTCAAAGAGGGGCGGGCACCAGCTGCAGGCCGCACAGCTGAGACCTGGTTTGGGCTGGTCCTTGCCCTTTCCAGGCCTTCCTGCTGTCCAGCTTCCCACTTAGACTCCGGGGGCGTGTGACGTGTGGAGGGGGCATGCGTGGGAGGCAGGGGGTCGGGAAGTTTGTAAAGTGTGAGCAGACCGTCTGTAGTAAGTCAGAAAGGACCTGAGTAGTGTGGGGTCCCTCAGGCTGTACCCAGCAGGCCTCTTCCCTCAGGCTGGGCAAGGGCTCAAGGCGGGGAGCAGAGAGGACTGCCACAGAAGGAGTCCCCAAGTTCAGGAGGCCCCGATATCTGTGCTGTCGTCAGAGCCCCGGACTAAGAGCAGAAATCTGGGGTCCAAGTTCCATCTCAGCTCACGTTCTGATGTGCTGTGCGGCCCTGGGCACTTGACTTCTGAGCCTTAGTTTCCTCATCTGCCACACAAAATGGTGGATGGAGGTGGGTGATTTCTAACCAACACTCTGCTTGGACTGAACCCTGATTGGCCAGGTGTATGCAGTGTGGCCGACCCTACGTAGGCATGATCTCGTCCAAGGTCCATGCTGTCTCCTAACACCAAACCCAGGGCTCCTGGGTACCCCGATGCCCTTGGGAACAGGGGCAAGATGCCATGACTGAAATGCCCGCCCCAGCCTGCTCAGAGAGGCCCGTGCACATCCCATTCCAGGAAGCGCCACGCAAGGTACGAAACCTCTCTGGCTTCGAAGTAATTTGGGCTCAGGGTGGAAATGTAAATAAGTCATGTTTAGGAAGCAGACAGCACTTAGCCAAGGCCAGAGCTCGGCCCGAGTGGGTCTGGAGAAGGCCACAGAAGAATTCCCACAAGGCAGACGCTCTTCTGCGAGAGACAGGAGGGTGCAGGGTCCACTGTGAGCACCTCCCTCAGGCCTGATAACCGCTGTCACCCTGCCGCAAAAGCAGAGAGTTCCAGAAAAGGGTGACTTGTTCCTCCCCCAAACTGTCCTGAATGTTAGACAATCCCTAAAACATCTGCCCATTTCCCAAAGCAAAGCAACTGCGCACTCCTTCCTCAGTGGCCTGCGAGCCAAAGACCTCACCTCGTATTGAACAGGGACCAGCTGTGTGTCACAGGACAAGTGGCTGCACCTCTCTGAGCCTTGTTTATAAAACAGGTGCCACCACCTCAAAAATCCAGCTTAAAGAGACAAGATAGACCCCACCTGGGTCCAGGACACAAACTCTCCTTCCCACAACTCCACAGTGTTTCCAGAGAGGCCCCCGGACTGAAAACTCTCTCACCAAAGTCAGGCCCCTTCTGCTGCATTTAGAGATGCAGGACATCAGAGATGAGTCCAGAAGGAAGTGGCTCAGAAGCTCCCAGCAAAAGGTCAAAGGGCAGAGAAAACAATGAAAACACTAGCAGAAGCAGCTTCTGGCTCTGCAGGTACAAAACCTCCGAGTAACTTTTTTTTTTAATCCTTACCCGAGGATATGCGTTTTTTGTTTGTTAGTTTTTTTAAGGGAGGGCAGAGAGAGAGCGAAACATAGATATGAGAGAAAAACATCAGTCAGTATGAGCCCCAACTGGGATCAAACCCGCAACCTTCTGGTGGGAGGGATGACAGACCAACAGACCGAGCCACCAGCCGTGGCTCTGAGTCTGTCTCTTCTGCCCTGGAACCTCCCAGGCGGCTCAGCGTCCTGATAATGAGGGGAGACGACCGTCTGCGGGGAGAGAGCAGCAGGGCCCAGCAAGTCCGGGGACGAAGAGGAGCAGGCGTGACACTGCACAGGTGTGACACGGCACAGGTGACACTGCACAGGTGATACTGCACAGGCGTGACACGGCACAGGTGTGACACTGCACAGGTGTGACACGGCACAGGTGTGACACTGCACAGGTGTGACACGGCACAGGTGTGTGACATGGCACAGGTGACACGGCACAGGCATGACACGGCACAGGTGACACTGCACAGGTGTGACACTGCACAGGTGACACGGCACAGGCATGACACTGCAGCTCTCTCCGACTGCTCTGAGATGAGGGCCTCGGTGAAGGCGTAAATGTGATATTTGGGGGTTGGGGGCTTCAAAAGCTTAATTCATTAGCTCAGCCGCATGGAAATGTCACATGGGAATCTTAGTTTGTCCATAAACATCACTGCGATTTTTTTTTTCCTTTTAAAAGACATACTCACAGATGGACAGGGGAGGGAGGGGGAGAAGGAAGGGAAGAGGGCGGAGAGAAGGCAGAAGAGAAGGCAAGACAGGGAGGGGCCCGGGCGCGAGGGAGGGGCCGAGGAAGCTGGTGGAGGGGACACAAGAGAAGGGAGCACCCTGCCCCACCGTGTTCTAGTTTCTATCTGGGCCTGTTGCTAAGTAAGCAACAAACAAGTTCTCCTTCAGTTTAAAAAGTTTCTTTTCTTCTTTGTTTTAAATTAATCTGAGAGAGAGAGAGAGAGAGAGAAACGGCTCTGTGGTTCCACGTATCTGTGCACGCTCTGGTTGACGCCTGTACGGCCCTGACCGGGACCCAACTGGCCACCACGGCACCTGGGGATGATGCTCTAACCAACCGAGCTACCCATCCGGGCCGTTTTCCTGTCATTTTTACTTCACTACTTTAAATGAATGAAAGAAAGAAAAAGGGCTTCCTGAGTTGAGCCTGTCTCCTTAAAACCTGGATTTGGGAACGACAGGGTAGAAAGTGTGGGTGCTCCCCCCAGTAGCCACAGAAGGTCCCCCTACCAGACCCTCACCAAGTGCTGGCCCCGGGCACCAGGCTCTCGCCGCGGATTATCCCGTGTCACCCTCGCCATGTCACCCATGCCAGTCCACCGAGGGCAGCTAGGTTGGTATCCCCGTCCCATAAAGGAGGCAGCCAAGGCTCAGAGGGGCTAAACCACCTGCCCAAAGTCACACGGCTGGCGTGACCAGGACTCGCACTCGGGCCATCTGTCTTTAAAGACTGCCGCGCTGCTCCTTGACCAATCCACGTCCACTGCTGACCTAGTTTCCTGCTCATGGCTCCAAATGGACAAGACATGCTGGAGGGAAGAAGATGGGGTCCCACCCTTGAAGCGCCCGAGCTCGGCGGGGAGACAAGGCTGTCACCCTGACACAGGCGGGCAGGGCAGGCAGACACCCCTTTACCTTGATGATCTCCTGGGCGATCTGCCTGGTCTTGTTGATGTCCAGGGAGATCTTGGGGTCCCTCACAAACGAGTGTAGTGTCCGCCCCTTGCAAAAGCTGTGTGGAAAGCAGGGGGTCAGGCAGCGGCCGAGGCCAGCGCGGCGGCCTGACCCCAGGAAGGGCTGTGGGCAGAGAGGCCCCTGGAGGGCTCTCGCCAACCCCCGGACGGTGGGCACCAGAATCCTCGTTCTTAACCAGGCTGTGCCCATTTCTTCTGGGGCCTGGCCTGGATGCACGAAAACATTCCCGCAGGCAACCCACTCCCAAGGCCCAGGGCCTGCCCACCCCAGAACAGGGAACCGGTTCACCCAGGCCCCTGGTGGTACACAGCAGCCAACCCGCGGGGGTTCAAGGCGGGTGAACACAAACTCCAACAGGAGGCATCTGGCCTTTCAGGGCGACCGCAGGGCAAGGGAAGGGCGCCGGGCTCCCTGTAATGATGCTTGTGATCATTTCTACTGTTTTCTGCTCACGGAGTTTGTTGTAACGAAGGGGTGTACAGGAGGGGACAGGGTGGAAGAGCCTGCCAGGGCGTCAGAGTGACCACTGGACGAGGGCCCACATTTGGGGGTCTCCATCCACACTGACCCCTAAAACCTGCAGAAGAAGCCCAGAGAGAATGTGTGGCTCATTCTCCTGTCCCAGGGAGAAGCTGACTTGTGTCCGCCGCCTGAGGAAGGGGCGAGATTTTAGGAAAGTCTCCAAGGAGAGAAGATTCTGGGGGCCTCAGAACCTGAGAACGGGATGAGGGTCTGGAAGAGTGGGAACAGTTCCTAATCTGTGTTCCGGTACCTGCAGAACATTCTGGAACATGCTACATCTTTGTTACTGAATGTTCTGTTATGTTATCATAGGTATTCCCTTTAGGCAGACTCAGGTAATTTTTGAAACTGGGTAGGTAAGATATGGAAGGAGGGACGGACAGACGGACAGCACTGGGGGCTGGGGGGCTGGCACAGCCAGAGTAAGGACGGTTCCCTAAAACCCCAAGGTCGTGTGGGGGGGTTTTGTCACGTGCTGTGGGGGCCTGGCGGTCTCGAACGGCCCGGGAGTGTGGTGGGTGATTACTTACATCTGTTTCTGATCAACAAACAAAACGGAAGTTAATTTTTACTTAGTAGATAGTTTGTTTGAGGAGAAAGTTTTTTTTAAAGCATTTGGGTCCAGCTACAGGGAATACCATCAGAATATTAATGGGGGTTCTCTTGGCTCATGGGATTAAAGTGATTTTTAGTTTCTTCTTGAAACCTCCACGTACGTTCCAAAATTTCTTGATGAACCTCATATTGCTCTTCCCTGGTTTTATTCTTTGAAATATTTTACTTATTTACTTTTAGAAGGAGGGAAAGGGAAGGAGAAGGGAGAGAGAGACACCAATCAGCTGCCTCCCATGTGCGCCCTGGTCAAACCTGCAACGCAGGCATGTGCCCTGACCGGGAATTGAACCGGCGACCTTTCGCTTGGCAGGGCGATGCCCAACCAACTGAGCCCCACCGGTCAGCGTGCTTTTCCTGATTTTAGAAGTAAACACCCAACAACAACTTTTTCAAATGCGGGGGTGTTCCTGTTTCACACCCCCTGGCACTGGGCGGCAGGGACACGCGTGCAGCGGGACCAGGTGGGAGAGGAAACAGGGTGAACACTTTCCGGACTGGAAAAGGGCAGTACACGCTGTGACCCGGCCCAGCACGTGTCCTCCCGGACGGTCACCGAGACACGTGCACACTTGGTCACAGTGACGGAAGAGTACTGGCGAGATGAGGGGACAAGCAGTGAGCCCCGCGACAGAGAGCCCAGAACCCGGCTGTGGGACTCCCTTCCCAACCCCACTCCCCTTTCGTCGACCCCAAGTCGGTGGCTGAAATCAGCTGTGGTCAGAGCGTTTACACCACAGACACCGACGGCTGCCACGAACCAGGGCTTCCCTCCCGGCCCCCCGGGAGCCGGCTGTTCTGCGCCGCTGGCCTCAGCCACGTCATGGGAACACGGGGCAGGGGAGGAAGGACTACGTGGACCTCAGACCTGCACTCAGGTGAAGAGAGCAAGGTGTGAGCCAGTCCGGTCTCCGCCGTGTGTTTTTACAAAGGAGCAGGTAAATAGTTTAACAACACGAGTATATGTAAATTCTTCCTTCTATTCCGTTCCCAGTTCCAGTGCGGGCAGCAGCACCCTGTTGGTGCAGCAGCGGACTGGCCTTTGCCTCGAACCTTTCTGCCGCATTCGACTTTCCTCTCTCCTGGGGCATCTTTTACTTATTCGTTTTTAATGTCAGTGCTGTTATATGGTGGGGAAATTATACCCCATTTTTCGTACCTGTCTTCGGGAAAACTTCCACGCCCTCCAAAAAAGGTGAACATTTTTGCCAGTTATAAAAATAGTCATGGGAATGTTATGTACAGACAGCATAGGAAATATAGTCGATAATATCTTAAAACTGCATATGGGGCCAGATGGATTCATTAACAGGACCACTTCATAAGATGTATGAGCTAACTGTATGGCAACTGTAACTGAAAACTAAATAGAAAAACAAAACCCTTCCACGCCCTCCAGGGTGCCCACATCTGTAAGAGGCCCCAGGGACGGGGAGGCAGGGGCGGCCCCCTCAGCGAGGGCCAGGGCGCGGTTACCTGGTGATGATGGCCAGGTGGGGTGGGTTCATGCAGGCCCCCATGAAGAGCACCACGTTCTCATGCCGCGTCTGCCGGTAGTTCATCACCTCTTTCTTGAACAGCTTCAGGTGGTCCTGGTTGTGGCCGTCCATCTCCAGCAGGCGGATGGCCACCTCGCCGTGCCAGCGGCCACGGTGCACGCGGCCCCAGCGGCCCTGGCCGATGGGCTCGCCCAGCTCCACCTGCTCAAAGGGGATGTCCCACTCCTGCAGGTACACGCTGGTCTGGCTGGCCTTGCGGGAGATGGGGCCCCGCCAGGGCCGGCGGGGGCTCGGCAGGTCGTCCACCTCGTCCTCGTCGTCCTCTGCCTCTGACTTGCCAGCCTCCGGCTCCTCGGCCTACAAGGAGAGGAAATAGAGAGGGGCCGTGGGTCTGGGCTCAGCTGCCTCCCCTTCCCCAGAGCCCCCACCAGGTAAGGGAGGAGGACAGGCAGGCGGTCAGGAGGCACTGGTCAGCCCTGCACTGGCTTGCCATGGACAGCAGGCAGGTCACTTAGCACCGTGGAGCCTCAGTGTCCTCGCCCACAAAATACGGCCCTCAGCCCCGGTGGGCCCTGAGGCCCTCATTCCACCTGGCCCGCCTAGGTCTACCTACCAGGGACCAGGGAAGACTGTTAACATCCCCTGGCATGAGGAATTTAACTGCATGCATTCTTTCTGGGTATTCTTTTGTTTAGAGTTTCTGTTAACGTTCTGCTAGTGCTCCCAGAAGCCAGGCTCAGCCCACGCTGTGGGTCAGGGGTCAAGGCAGTGGTCCTGGCCCTGGCAACAGTCAGAATCACCTGGGGAGCTTTGACACCTGGGGTGCCTGGACGCTCCGCAGACAGAATGACGCAGTCTCCAAGGCTGGGGCCTGGGCTGCCAGACCAGGGGTGGGAACCATGGGACTCAGGAGCTTACTTTAGCCCCAAACAGAAAAGAAAAGGAAGTTTGCTTCACTGCGTTCCTCATCATTCTTCCCAGCCGTGCACACCTGCCCGCATCTGCTGCAGTGGGCACCTGAGACGGCCCCTGCTGGGGCCCTGCGCCCGACACTGCCTGACCTCCTGTGCGTGCTGGGATGGACGGGGGAAGGGGAGGGAGAGGCGTTGTCTGTGGCTCACCTCCACCTCACGATCCTCCAACACATTTGGTTTTGGCTGGTCGTCGAGCCTAAGAGTGAAACAGGGTTCGTCAAGGAGACTCTGAGGGTGGGCCACTCGGCTCTCAGCTGGGCAGGGAACTCCCCAAGTGAGGTCTGAGCAAAGGTCCGCTGGCCTGGGTCCTTGCTTTGACCCACCTGGCTGTGGGAAAGGCAGTCCGGATGCTGTGGGAACAGCCAGGAGGCCCAGGCCCCACTCCCCTCCTCCAGACTGAGGGTGGTAGGGCGGAGGGGCGGGCAGTAGCCACCAAGGTCCCTTCAAATCTGACAGCCAGTACAGGGGCTCCAAGCCCAAGCACAGAACTTGAAATTCTACTTGAAAAGTGTTTCCGTCACATCCTAGCTGTGTGACTTTATACAATTTCTTAACCTCTCTGAGCTGGCTTCCCCATCTACACATTGAGGACCACAACTACTTCAACGCCTTCTTGGGAACACGAGTCAGGTGCTCAGCACAGCCTCACATGGGAAACCGGCTCCAAAAGCAGGAGCTACTCTGAGTAGGTTTCTATAACTCTGAGTGCCCTTTGCCCCCTCCTCCTGGGTCAGGTTTACAACCTCTTCCAATACCAACTGTACTGATAAGGGGCTAATCAAATCTGTGTGGCCGAGTTCACGGGCCCAGAGGGTGAATGAGCCCAAGGAGTCTGCCATTTGCCATCTGGCTGGCCTAGGTACATGGCAGTGATCAGAGTGGGAGGTCAGGGATTTGGGGGCAAGGGGATGACAGAGATGTGGATCCAGCTGCCACAAATTGCCACCGAAGAGAAGGGACACAGCACAGGAATGCCTACCGGGTGCTGTCCGCTGCGTCAGGGAACGGGGCTGCCGGTGGAAATGCTGAAATGTCTGGAGGAAACAAAGCGAACATGAAGCATGAGACTGCCTTTCCACTCCCCCGAAAGGACACAGCGCTTGCACGCAGGGAAGTGGGTCCTCCCCTAGCGGTCCTGCACAGGGCAGCATGCGTGTTCCCCAGGCCCTTTCCACTGGGGTCAACTTGTGCTTTCCCTGAGACCAAATGCAAATGCAGCCTCTACAGCACTTGGGGTGTCCCAGGAGGGGACCCAGGTGTGCCAGGAGATTGAGACTTCTTCTCAGTTAACACCATTCCCCTGTGGTCAAACTGCCTCATACAAGCAAGTGGCGAAAACAAACCGGGCTATTCACTGGAGGCTGGGGCTGGCAGCATGAACCCTTGAAAGCGGAGACTCCTTCACTGAGGCCAGCAGAGGAGGAAGGCAGGACTCGTAGGTGGCTCGTTAGTGACACCTGCTGCCTGTCACGGTTCCTGGGAGTTTCTGGTGGGAGCTGGAGCCCCACCCCCTGGGCTTCCAGGTTTGGTCTGCTGCTGGACGGGCTCTCAGGGGACAGGAGGAAACGCACAGTGCACACATCAGCTGGGGCTGGCCCCGGCCTGAGGCTTTCCCAGGTTTAGCACTGACAGTTGCACAGGGGACACCAGACAAACGGTCACCCCGCGGTGGAACCAATGTGTCACAAGCCGAACCCTCCATAGCGGCTTCTGCTGCCAGCCTCCTTCTGTCATCTCCACCCCCTTAGATAGCACTCAGGGAGCGGCGGCCCCAGGGCTGGGGGCGCCCTTTGCTCCCTCCTCTTTTATCAGCACAAGGGCATTTACTGGAGTTAGCAGTGGCTCAGGCGAATCAGTGGCCTCTCCCTGCCTCCTAGGTGGGAGAGCCTCCCATCAGCCATCACACCTCCTTGGACCTCGCTCCTGGGCCTTCTCCCAGCCTACCCCTGAAGGCCATCTGAACCACAGGCTTTCAGCGTCTCACAGACTTAAGGATGTGAGAGAGGCCCGGGCCTTCTCACCAAGGAAACACACGTGTGCACCCACCACCCTGTGCACGGTTTCTGGGGGGGTCCCAGGCCCTGGGAGCCTCTGCTGAGGCCTCTGGCCAACGTCACTATCTGCTACATCGTGTCCGAAGACTGCCAGGGCGGCCCGGTGTTTCTACCTGTCCATGTCGCTCAAATGACTCCACAGAAGGAAAACACGGCGGGGGGTGGGTGTCCAGGGAGAAACGGCACTCCAGGTGGGAGGGCAAAATGTGGCTGGAGCCTCATGTTTTTCCTTAAACACAGAGAGTACACTCTGCGCTCTGCTCCACGATGCGTCCATGATTGCTTTGATAGAAATGTATTTCCCTCCCTTCCCCACAACGTATCTTCAGAGCAAAACAGACCCCTCCGGAAGGAGAGGCACGTTTTCCCAGTGCTCTCAGGTACTTCCCTGTGCACCATCCTAGAGCCGGTTACCTGGGAGGCTCCCGCAGCAAAACCACAGCAAAAACCGGCATGAAACCAGAGGCAGGTCAGGGAGCCTGCCCTGACCCCAGCCTGCGCATGCCTGCAATGCCACATGGGTGATCCAGTGAGAACTAACAGATGCTCCAAGTCGCCCCCCTAATAGAACTGAGTGAGGGTGCAAAAAAGCCTGGAATAACCAAAATACCATGACTTCAGGACAGACCTGTTTAACCTAGGAAAAAGTAACAGTTAGCTACAGTCTTTGCCTAAAACACATAGAATAGAACCTTCATGTGGCTAAAGTAGGAATTAAAGTTGCAGATTACTTATAATAATGCTTGCCACTTTCAGCTAGAGAAACCAGGACTAATCGGATAACTGCCTTAGGGGCAGAAATATGGTCAAATGCAACGAATGGCTCATAGTAGGTACACAAAACAATTTCTGTAGAAAGGAAACAATGACATTGTCTTACTGATTGAAAATTTTTCCTTTAAACTTTCTGCACTGAAGCATTTTTAATAAATGGCCGGCAGATGGTGCTATGCAACTAGACTCTGGAAGGTGAAGCCCACTAAGTGAAGCCTGCAGACCTTCCCCCACTTTTTAAAAAAGATTTTATTTGTTTCTTTTTAGAGAGAGGGGAAGGGAGGGAGAAAGTGAGAGAGAGGCATTAATGGGTGGTTGCTTCTCATAGCCAGCAACCCAGGCGTGTGCCCTGACTGGGAATCGAATCAGAGACCTTTTGGTTTGCAGGCCGCCACTCAATCCATTGAGCCACACCAGTCGGGGCTGGCTTTCCCTTTTTAAGATAGAGTAGCAGCTAGTTTCCTTATTATTGTGCAGAGGGGACTATGACAGATGCTCACAAGACACTAGTAGAAAGTCCTCTCTTCCATTATGCAAACTGAGTTTTTGCCACCTGGCTGTGTGACCTTGGACAAGTTTCCTGTAGTCTCTGTGCAAGAGGCTGCACAGGATGGATGTCAAGGTCCCTCCCAGCAAGGCAATGCCCCTGTGAAGGCTACAACTCACCCTGCCCCCCTCCCCCTTTCCAGCCTCCACAGACAGGCAGCTCTCAGAACAGGTGGGTGTGAAAATCAAGCACCTCCAAGGTACCCAGGGCAAGGGCACCCAGCTGGACTGGACAGAGGGGTCACAGCAAAGAGCAGTTAGTGGAACCATGCAAAGGACTCACCTGGAAAGATAAACTGCTGTCTGTGATGGATGAAGTAGGCAGCTTTAAACAGAAGAGGAGGTGAATCACACACAGAGCAGCAAAGGAAGCGAGGGGGGAGGGGGCACAGGCATGGGCAAGGGAGAAAGGGGCTGGTTACTGGGCTGGGGCAGGTAGGCCCCGGGTGGGCCTGGCCAGGACAGGGTGATCCATGCAGGGAGGAAGAAAAAAGCTGGGAAAAACAGGTGCCAGCAGGAGTCCTCAGGAGTGAAGGGGTTTGCCCCGGGGTCTGCGTTCAGAGACCCAGTCTCCATGGCCACTCTGCCTCAGAGCTCCGGCCAATTCCGTCCACCCCTTGGGCCTGCTTCTCTGTGAAATGTGAGTGCACCCAGGAGGGTGAAATCCAATGGGCAGATGAACAGTGATTCTGAAAACACGTAACAGTGGTGCTGAGGCTTCAGTGACTTGAAAGCAGGGGGTTCTTTTACCGGATTTACCCCCCTGGGCAGCCCGACACTGACCGTGACTGCGGAACCAGAGAGACAAGTGGTCCTGGAGAGAGAGTGAGGGCTCCGAGTAGGGACAATGAGGGACCAGCCCGGGGACATCAGGGAAACCTGAGAAGCTCTGGCTGACATCACAAAAAAGGCTTTCTCAGCAGCTGTTGTTTTGTAAACAGGACCTTCCTTTTAGAAAAACTCAAAAGTAGGAGGGTTCGCAGAAGGCCCAGTTTCACAGCATATTAATGACAAAGCAGAAAGGGAGAGAGGAGGTTAATCAAACAGGCCATCGCTCAGCGGCTCAGTCTCAGGGGGGCCTGGAGGCCAAGGGCTGATGTCAGGAGGTAGCCAGCCATGTGCGTATTAAAGTGAAGAGAGAGCAAAAGAGAAAAAGATTCCTACAAAAATCTCTGTCTCTCGCCATCCCCAAAGACGTCCCTAGAACCTTGCTGAGATGGATTCAGAGAGGTTGCCAGGCCTACCCCTGCCTGCGGGTGGCCCCCACTGGGGGTCCCTTGGCACAGGAAGAGCTGCGCTTCTGTCCTCCTGGGTCTGGAGCCTCAGGGGCCAGTGACAGGTGGGGCCTGACCTGGACTCCACGGCCAGGAGCAAACCGGAGCATCCCAGCCGCCCCTCCTTCCTCCAGGCTGCCAACTGAAATACGCTGAAGGCCAAGACCTACTGCTAGGAGCTGCCAGGGAGGCCAAGGCCGAGGCTCAGTCCTCAAATGGACAAGTGGGCTCCACTCCTCTCTCTGCGGAGGTGGGACACCCCAAGGCAGCCTCGGCTACGGCAGAGTCAGAGGTGAGCTCTGGTCAGGTCTGCTCCAGCACGCACACCCCTGGGGGACTCGGTGTCCTAGTCTACACCCAGGGATACGCTGATGCCAACTTCACAGAGTCTCTTGTTTTACGAAAAAGACACACTTCCACTTAAGTAGCCTGTCCAGACCCCAGAGCAGGTAAGAGACAGGGGCCAGACCCACTCTCCCAGGCCATCTGGGCCCGCCCGGGCTCCTGGGAGCGCATAAGCCTCAAGTGAATGGAGTGAGCAATGCCCTGTGGGAGCCAGGCGTGTGCAGGGGGCACCATGGGGATTAAGTCGAGAACAGTCTTCGCGTCAGACAGACTCGCTTTGATCCAGGCTCTATTGCTTATGTGCTGCAGCTCGGGGCAAGCCACTCCCTCTCTCTCCACCTCAGCGTCCCTGTGTGTAAAATGGGTACAATAACAGTACCCCCCTCAGAGCTGTTACCAAGTGAAACATGGCAATGTGACTGAGCTCGGCCCAGCACCTGGCTCCCCACAAGTGCTCGCAGTGGCTGCGGTACATGCCCTTGAGCCTCCCGGGGTGTGCTGAGAAGGGGCATGTGACCCCACCCCTAAGAGCCCAAAAAAGCCCAGAGGTGTGGTACCTGGGAAGTTGAACCTGTTGTCCCGCTGGCCGGGCGAGGGGTTGGGGGGCGTGGTGGCGCTGGGTGGGTTGGACGAGCTCGGGAAGGGGGCGGGCGAGGAGGGTGTGGAGGACGTGGTGGAGGACGGGTTGCTGCTGGAGTCCAGGTGGTTCGTGGCCGGAGGGTGCTCCTGCAGGAACAGATGTGGCACATGGCAGGGACTGTCACTGCGCCGCCCAGCCTGACTCCCTCACCCCTTGCTGGGACCCTCCCTTCCCTGTGTGAAAATGAAGAGGCCAAGCCTGGGCATCCCGATGGTTCACTGGTCTAATGTTTGAAAGCAGAATAGCACGGGGAGACCCTCACCCCAGTGCCCACCCCCTGGAGTCCTGCTCATCTTATCTCGGCTCGAACATCCTTCCCTCTCAGGAGCCCTTCCTGAGCCCTGGCTGGGCCCATGCCCCTCCTCTTCATCCCCCCGTAGCTCCCAGCACTTCTCAGGACAACGTTTGTCAACCGCAGGTATCCGGGCTGGTTCTGTCCCGGGAGGGAAGGGCGGGAACCATGCCTGCCCATCAACCCCCAGCCCCTGGCTCTGAGCCTGCACGTCGTTGGGTTTTTTAGTGAATCAAATTCAGCCTCTGACAAGTATTTGTTGAGTGTGCGGCACAGAGGCTGTCAGTGCTCCGTCCACTCTTCCGCTGGTTCACCCAGTGGTTTGGGCCCCAGCAGGACCGAAGGGCCACCTGACAGAGGGCCACAGGGGACCAAGCTGTGCTAAGTGGTACATTGTTCCCCAGATCCAAACATCAGCAGGGGGCGTGGGGTTGGATTCTGTGGTCAAGAAAGTTGGAGCCAAGATGGGTTCAATGCTAAATTGAACAGGCTTCTCTTCTGCAGGCCCTGGAAGCTCGGAGATGCACAGCAGACCCTGAACTCACCGAAGCTACGCAGCGGGCCTGCAGCCCAGGGACAGCCAACACCGCCTGGAGCCCAGCCGTCCCCACCCCGCTCCAAGGCCCAGGCCCCCCAGCCCTGTCGGGGCCAGGCAGCCAGGGCAGGGGGAACGGCCACGAGGCAGGCTGCCTCCCAGCTCCCCCACCCAGCACCCGCGTGCAACCTGGACATAACCACCCCACCCTTCTGAGCCAGTGTGTCATCTATAAAATGGGGTGTCAGCTCATCTGCTCAATGCCTACTGTGTGACAGGCACCGCTGCAGGTGTCAGGGACCCAGCAGGATTAAGGGCACCTGACCCCAGAGCACCCGCACCAGGGAGACGGACAGCACGCGGTGACTGCACCGGACCACGGCCGTGAGGACCGCTGGGAAAGCAGCGGTGCAGCTGGGGCCCGGGCGCGAGGCCGCGTCTGGCGAGGCCGCCCCGACGATGCGGGTGGTGGGAAGGCTGGGAAGGAGTTCCAGGCAGAGAGCGCGGTGGGCACACAAGCCCCGGGGCGGGAGTGAGTGCGCAGAGCCTGTCTGAGCAAGGATGGGCGGGGTGGGGGGCGGCTGGAGAAGAGCCCAGAGACACAGGCTGGCACTTGGAGATGAGCAGGATAAAGCGTGGCCCTGAGCACAGTGCCTGGCACCCAGCGAGAGTAACTGCTGGCTTGGGGGACGGTAACGACCGCAAATGGGATATGGGGAGGCCGATGCAGTCACTGCTCCCAAGGAGACAAGACCCGGTTCTCCGCTGGCTAAGGGCCAAGCAGGCGTGGGCAGGAGGGGCTCCTGGACGGGGAGGGACCCTGAGCGGGTTCTGAGAACTGACAGGAGGGTGAGGGGTGGGTGTCCAGGTGGGTAGAAATGCAGGTGCGCACGTGCCAGGGCGTGAACGGACGGGCGGTGGGTGAGGGGTGTGTGAGGGTGGGGTGCATGTAGCTGGGAGGGGGACAGGTGCAGAGACAGGGCTGGCAGGATGGGGAGTGGCAGACCCGGGGCCTGGCGCACCACCGAGGAACTGCACCCACCTGTGACAGGCAGGAAGACACGGGTGACCGGGGGCGTGGCTCCTGACAAGTGAGTCCATGACTGTTATCTCGTTACCTGCAACACCCTGTGTGTGCAGAGTGTATCTCCACTTTACAAAATAGGAGAACTGAGGCTCAGAGAGGGAAAGGAATCCACTCAAAGTCACAGAATGAAGGGGCATAGTCAGGACTCGAACCCAGGATGGTGGAGCCTATCATCTCTCCACTCCCCTCACTGTTCCTAGTGGGCATGCTGTCCGTCATCAGGAGGGAAATGGGACGCCGGCCGAGTGGCGGGGCAGGGGACCTGCACAGCCCTGAGGAGACGGCAGGTTTGGAGGACCTGGCCGCCTTGGTTTGACAGCGACAGGGGACCTGCACTCTCCCTGAGCAGCCCCGGATGCTGCATCTTTGGGTCCTCGCTTCCCTCTGCCCAGACCTCCCCCCAGGCTGGCCCAGCCCTGCGGCAGCCAGTCACTGGGCCCCTCAGTCAGAGTCAAGAACACGCTAAGTCCTGGTCTGGGGCTGGGACGTAACATGCTTGAAACACACAGCCAGACCCACAGTGGCCCGGGGGAGGCCATCGTCCCAGTGGCACCAGGACAGCAGTGGGTGGCTGCCAGAAGCCATCAGCGTGGGAACCCCATTGATACCACGCACGGCTGTGCACGGGGGTCCATGACAGGCCTGCAGACCCTCCGTGGGGCACTCAGGCCTTCGAGAATCTGTCTGGCTGCGGAGACATCCGTTCACACTTGTGGGGAGGCCCCGCCCAGGCTGCGTGAAGAAGTGCACTTGCACGCGCTACTTCTGAGGGCCCGTGGGCCAAGGCACGGGCTCCGGGGCTGGGCCTGCCTCTCACTCCCTGGGGACCAGCGCTGTTTCCGCGTCTGTAAAATGGAGGTGAGGTCAGGATGTGCCTTTTGGAACTGCTCTGAGGGTCAGCGGAAGCACCACTGGAAAGAGTTCCTGGCTCACAGTCAGAGAAATATTAGCTGACAAAGGAAGGGCAGGGGTGTTACTGCACGTAACTCTAAGTGTGAAGTCTGCTAAAGGGCTGAAGACAGGCTCCCCAGAGGCCGCACTGGCCCCAGGCCTGCATTCCGTTGTCCCGCTGGACATCCACATCGGGGGCTTTACAGAAAGGCCCCCGGGGGGGCTTCTCCTGGCAGAAGCAACAGACCCCTGGGCCCTCACCCAACCTACCTTCTTTGTCAGTGCTTTGGGGAGGGTTCCAAAATGGGGTTCGGCTGCTCTGTCCACTGGGTTGTTGATGTCCGAAGGGACAGACTCCGTCCTCCGAATCCTGGCTACTGAAGAGGGGGAACCATCAGCAGGGCCCAGACTGAGCCAAAGAAAGACCCACCCCGAACGCAGAAGGCGGGGGAGAGAAAAGGGCCGAGACTCACTTGGAAGGAAGGATATCCGGCAGGCGGGAGCCTCTTTCGTGCACTTGTTGTGGCACTTCAACCTGGGGAACGGACGGGGGCGGGCTCAGCGCAGCGCCGGGGCCTGGCTAGTGGACAGGGGGCTGCCCCATAGCCGGGCAGCGCACCCCCGACCCCAATCGCCTTGCACCGATTTCTCAACAAACACTGGCTCAGAAATGCAGAACCAAGGTCAACAGTTCTGGCCACCGCCGTCTGTGGGCATCACCACGTCCAGCTGCTGCCTGCCTGGTCCTCGGAGCAAAGCAGGCTGGACTGTACCTATTTTAACTTGTCATGTGTGGGTCACACATCTGTCTCTCTTCCCTAAAGGAGAGAAGACCCTCCACTCTCGTTCAGAAGGCTCCAGAGGGACCCAAACTTACAAAGTAAGGTGAATGAGAAGAACGTCTGCCCCACCCAAGGATATCCCAGGGATGCGGGGATGGCCCAGTGGTCGGAGGGTCAGCGGGGCCCTCAGTGGAAAGGGCTGGGTTCTCGTTTGGAGCCTGCCTGCTGGCCGGTGTCTCGGGGTTCTCACCGATCACATGGGCCCCCAGTCGGGGCCCTACCAACCTCACACCTCAGCTGCAGTGCTGGGCTGAGCAGTGGCCCTCCCCCACCCGAAAGGCGGTACTAGAAAGGGAGCAGCTGGTCCAAGTTTAAAGCTAAACGGCAGGAGCCACAAGGGACCGAGACTGGAGAGAGAGCTCTGGCATCTCCTAGGTGACCAGAGTCATCAGAAAAACAATGTACCCACCAGACACGGATGCGACCTGTCACCTGCAGCCTCGTAGGGGCCCAAGTGCTTTTACACACACTAGCTCAGATTCTTGGAGCAATTCTGATGGGCGTAAACCTGAAGTGTACTCCAAGATGTATCAATGACAAAAATGTGGCCCAGGACAGGCAGGCACCTCACCCCAGGTCACACAGCAATGTGGGGGCCAAATGAGCGGGAGCGGAGTCCAGGTCCACCCTCTGCAAGGTGAGGGCGGCTAGAAAGCAGGGCGAGGACCCTGCTCACACCACACTGTTCCCAGCCCTTGTCCTTCTCTCCTCCCAGAAACCGCCGTGGTGTGAAGAAAGTCGGATTTGTGCAGAATCTGCATCCTTTCCCGCTGTGAGCACCACGAGCCGCCCTCTGTTCTGCCATTGCCTGTTTCCTCTCCCTCGTGTGCTAAAGTGTGGGGCTAATTGCAGAACTGCTTACACTTTCCCCAACAGTCCTCCCACTCCCCTCGGCCTCTGTGCAGGACACCCCCTTGGCCTGGGGTTCGCTTTCCTCCTTGGTCCGCCTGGCCAACTCCCGTTCACCCTGTAAAACCCACCTCAAATAGTCCCTTCTTCTGTGAGTGCTGTGCTCGATGCCTCCTTAATCCCCGAGAGGGGGCTGATCATTCCCGGGTGCTGAACGGGATCCTGAGTCTGGGTCTGGGAGAACCCTGCAAACGCTGACTTGCCCCAAGGCCGACAATCCAGGGCCGGACTGACTAGTCTGCAGGGCTCAGGTCGGCTGCCCGCCCGCACTCCTCCCCACCCCGCCCTCACCTGCAATGCTTGCACTTCACTCCAAACATCATGCTCTTCTGGCACACGTGGCACACCTGTGACAGCCAGGACTTGGTGGAGAACCTGCAGGGGTGGACACACAAGGGCGCTCGCGTGGGCCAGGAGACCAGGGCCTGGGCAGAGAAGGGTGCCCACCCAGCACAGGGAAACCTGGAGTCTTCTTCCAACCCAGACCCTGGGGCCTCCGCCTCCCACCCTGCATTCAGAATTCCCAGCTGCAAAGTCATCATTGCCAAAATCTCAGCGTTGGTGTGGTCACCGATGCCGGCTGGTTGGCAAGCAACCCGGGAATAGCTACCAAAAGGACCCGTGTGCAGACCCTCTGGCCCAGCAGCCCCAGGCTCAGGAAGTGGTCCGACAGGCACTCCCACAGACGGCGAACGATGCGCAGACGAGGTCCCTGGGTGCAGCGCATTTGCAGCGATGGAAGACTGGAAGCTACCCTGCCGTTCGGGTGAAGACTACAGAAAGCCCAGTCCCTGCACGCAACCCAGCGCCAGGCGGCCAGAACGGAAAACCAGGAAGCTCTTTTTGTGCAGATAGGGAATGATCTCCAAAATTGCACCGTCCGTGAAAAAGGTGAGGCAGAATACTGTATGGCTCCATTTACATGGAGCTTAAGTAGCAGACACTAACGTACGATGACAGGTAGTGACTTCCAGATGGTAGCGCTGTCGCCTGGGAACTTTCTGGGGGCTGGAGCGTGGAGTGTTCATCTGGGCGGTGTACGTGGGTGCACATGCATGTAAAAACTCATTTGTGTGCTTAGCGCTGTGTAAATCACACCTCAATTATATATACATATACCTATTGAATTTTCAATGTTTAAATATATGTCAATCCAAACAAAATCAAAATTTAAAAAATTGGAAGGCCCGGAAGGTGCATTGGAAGGCGGGACGGGGCTGAGTGGGTAGCACCCTCCGAGAAAAAGCCCGAAGCCAGTGCAGGGGGGCGAGGCCTGGGGGCAGTGGGGAGGCAGGGCCCCGGAGGCACAGCCCTGGCTCGCTCAGTTCTTACCACCACCCCCGGGGGGTTGGGAAGCTCCGGGATCCTTAGTACACAGGCCAACAAGACACCAGCTTAGAGAGGCTGGGTGACTCTCCTGTGGTCACAGAGCTGGGGTGCTGGGCCGTGGGGGCTGGACCCCCAGTCTCCAAACTCAGAGCTGCATGGCTCCTCTCTGCAAGAGACCACCGGGCAGCGTGGAAGGGGCAGAGCGTGGCTGTGTGTCAGACGCCAGGTGGCAACCCGCTGACCACCATCTGTGGCGTGTGGCTCGGAGCCTCTGTGAACAGGCCCTCACGCTCACCCCACAGTGGCTGGGGGACCACGCGTGTGCCCTGTGAACGTGGAGTGTCTGGGCTGTGGAGGAGGCAGGTCAGTGTTACTGTCTCCACCAGCCGAGATGGAGCTCCTGGCGGCAAGGACAGTGGCACCCAGTGCCCTGGAGCCGGTGCCTTTTAAGCAGCCCTGACCCTGCCTCCCGGGGACCTGCCCTACCTCTCCCTCTGGGTTTTCCTCTTCTCTCAGATCAACACCAGGGGAAGAGGAGCAGCTCAGGGGCATCTAATGACCCCAGGTCTGGACCTGGGGTGGGTGGAGGTGGGGTAAAAGCCCTGAGGCCACGGGAGGGTCATGGTACAGTTTGTTCCCCTGTGATTAAACCAAAAATCATCAGACCTTCTCATCAAAAGGGGCCCAGGTCAGGGCTTTAAAACACCACAGGACACAACTGTGACAGCACCTACCCAAGCCCAGAACCTGGGAGGGAGGGACGGGGAGGCCTGGTGAGGCTGGAGAGCCGGGTGCTGTGCCCTGCCCGGGCAGCAGCTCTGGGCCGAGCAGCCACAGGCGGAAGGGATGGCAGTCCAGGACAGAGGTTGGAGGCAGGCGGCTGCAGCCTCGACCCCCTGCGGAAGTGGGTGCAGCCAGACATGGAGGAAACAAAGGGACCTGCTGACCCTGCTGGTGTCCCTCGGGTAATGTTGGCTTCTCTTAGGCTACAGGCAGGGGGAGACACTATGGGGTATCCCCACTGCTGGACATCACCCTACTTTATCCTCATGACAAGATGAGGAGGAAGGCCCGTGTGCAGAGGGGAGGCTGAGGATCGGGGAGGTCGCTGACCACAGGTGCGTGGCTCGTGACGGAGGGTCCTCACTTCAAAGGCCCTCCTCTTGGCAGCCCCCCGGCCCTGGGCAGACCGTGCTGGCACCTCAGGCGGGGCTGACCAGGCATTGGACCTCCTCTCCTGGAGCCTACCTGGGTGTCCACGGTGCTGGGGCCACTGGGGCCCTGGGACACGGGCCTCCCTGCTCCCACGGGGCTGCCCACAGGTGACAAGGCGCCGGCAGATGGCCCAGGCACTGCCTCACCGGCTGCATGACCTCAGGCAAATGACTCTACCCCTCAGGGCTCCCTCGCTGGCTGGCTCCCAGTCCAGGGGGGAGTGAAAAGCCCAGGCAAGTTGCAAAGCTCTTGACAAGCACGCCCTGTTGCCTTCCCAAGAGCCTGTGACAGGGACAGCCAGACAGGCACCCGAGGCCCTGTCCTGCTGCTGGTCATGGGGTCCACATCAGCCCTCCCCAAGGCACACGGGCACCAGGAACCCAGATGTCAGGCCTAGAACATCAAGGACGAGGCCCCTGAGTCTGGAGTTTCAACAAGCTCAACGGGGCACTGATGTAAACAGTTTTAGGGCCCACATGACATTGAGCTGCACTCAGAAGCAGCTCCTGGCTTCCCCTCCCTGAGACCGTGACCCTGTTTCTCCTGGGACCTGGTTTTCCCTCAGCAGACTGAGGAAGAGACCCACGGAGGCGCAGGGGTGGGCCCAAGTCCACGTGGCTGCAGGAGACAAGCTGGGGTTCCCGAGGGGTGCGGGGCTGTGTCCTCCACAGAGGTGATGGAGACAGAAGAGAGAAAGAGCCCCGAGAAACGCGGACCAGGACAGACCCCACCGCGATGAAGTGTGACCCCGGCATGAGTGGGTCCCCACCTGGCTGGGCCTACCTGTGTGTCACCGAGAGCCCGATGTCCCTCCGTACCATCTGTGGGGAGCCGTGCGGGAGATCTGCAGGGAGAGAGGCCAAGTTGGCAGGCGGAGGAAGCCCTGCAGGGACAGCTGGCGCCTGCGCCCTTCTCTGTCAGTGATCACAGGCTGGATGGGCACGAAAACGTACTGAAGGGCAGGGAAACGCCCCTGAACTGCATCCACCAAAACGGGGCCAGGGCAGGCTAGACCAGGCGGGACACGCGGTCACCCTCCCGCCTGGCCTGCCTCTCTAGTGCACGTCGCTGCCTGACCTCCGAAGGCTGTTCAGAAACCGTCTGTGCGAGGTCTCCGGCTGCGGGGGAGGCCGGCTCGAGAGGCAGAAGGCAAAGTGTGTGAGGGCAGAGGCCCCCCCGCCCTGGCACTCTCTCGTGCACACACCCACAGGTCACCAGGGTGCGAGGGCTCTATTCTGGTTACTTCGTGTTAGGTGGGGGGAAGGGTTCTGACCCTCGGCAGGGGGCTTGAGGCTGGTCAGCGGTGCAGCACACCCAGCAGCTCCCCAGCCTTGACGGCGTTGCCAAGGGCAAACACCACAGACCTCGGCAGGCAGAGAGAGGGAGAGTGAGGCTTTCCCCATGCTCCCGGGGCCCACCCCACCTGGCACTCAGTCTGAGTCTTTGGGGAAGTCTCAGGCCACGGGCTTTGAGATGCCTCTTCTGCCTGCCTTCTTAGTGGGCACCCTGAGCTCTCCTAATCCTCGCTTCCTCCTGAGAAGAGGCATCCCCAGTATCTGCAGCATCACAGGTTGGCATGGAGGACCAGCCAAAAGCAGCCCCTCCATCTCCCGACAGCCCACGCGTCCAACTCCCTCCCCCCTTCCTCCACCTGTGTGCCCCCCCCCCCCCGCACTGCCTTTCTCCTCATGGACAGGGGTCTCGGCTGAGCCCAGGGTGGGTCTGGGAACTCTCTGGACTGCTAAGCAGACAGCTGTACACTTTTCCTTGGAAAGAGGATCTAAACTTTCATCCAATTATCAGAAACCCGTGACTCAGAAAGATCAGGAACACAGTGTTTAAGGAATGTGTGGTCATCTCATGGCCTGTGAGTCAGCAGCCCTGCCCTCACTGCCCCCAGAAGGCCACCGCACCCTCTCGAGTCTCTGAGTCCAGGCCTGGCCCACGGTTGGGGCTCATTAAGTGCTGGCTCCCTTGGGGCCAAGGACCACATACCCGACGGCGAGGGGAAGGGCATGCTGGAGCTGCTGACTCCCCGCACACCAAGGGGAGTCTGATGGGGACCCAAAGGCCCTGTGTTGCCCGGCCGATGACCAGGAACCCACAGCTCCCTCCAGCACATCTGCCATGGGGCTGACTCCTCCCGAGGCCCTCCAGGGATTCGCCCCAGTCAGCAGCCGCTGATGTCACAGCACGTGGGTCTAAAAGGGGTTAGGCTGCCGGCCCGAGAGACTGGCCACTGAAAGAGATTCCAACCTTCTCTCTGAGCGCAACCTGCGACTGATGTGCAGGGTGCCATGGGCACACGTCCCAGGACACAGGGAGGTGAGGGCACCCATGCCGGGCACCAACTGTCCCTCACTAGATGAAGCCCTGGCCCTGAAGGCCCCGTCCCACCTGCCTGGGAGGCGGGAGAAGCAGCCTCACTGGTACGGGCCCTGCATCACCACAGCACCCAGGAGAGTCACGGGGCCAGGCTGCCCTGGGGATGCAGGTGCCGGGCTCTCCTCTCCTCTAAGGCTCTGGGAGGCCCCGGCGTCTTGCCTACACCCTGGGAGGGGGAAGGGCAGCCTCCCTTGTTCTGCACCCTACGCCTCCCCGGTGGTCCTGCAGCCAACTCCATTTTGGCAAAAGTCAGTGCCTGCCCTTCCTCATCGCTCTGCTTGGCCAGCTTAGGACAGGACGAAAGAGACTGCTATTTCGCTCGGGCAAGACCCGGAGAGCTCTGCACCTGCGCTGAGACAACTGAAAGCAGGCCAGAGGCAGGCCGCTTCCCTCCGCAGAGAGAGAAGGCCCACGGCTCAGCCACGCACAGGACGGCTCCCAGCCCGGACGTGCCCGGGGGGGGAGGGGTCAAGGCTGCTCGACTCCCCGCTCTCCTCCCAGGGGTCGACTCTCTCGGGACCTCGTTCAGAGATGGGTGGCATTCCTGCCTCGAAGGACATCCCTCTCCTGAAGGGACAGGTCCTGAGAAGTCAGCTGAGGGCTGCAGACGGCCACTGTCCACCTGCACCAGACAGGTGGTGCCTCCCTCTCGGGAGAGCGGGGTTCCCACAGCAGCCCAGCAGGTAAACACTCCCTGCCGGAGGTCACCTTGGGGGAGGGCAAGGTGCAAAGAGGGCCTGCCGTGGGGGACTGCCCACAGACCATGACACTCGAGGTCACTGCACACAAAGAGAAGCTGCTGGCTGGGCTGAGGTCACCTCGCCCTGTGAAGGCCACCTGTCCTAGAGTTACTTCTGGAGGCAGTTCCCAGCACCTCCGCTCCTGGACTACGGAAAGGCCAAGTGCACTCGGAGAGAGTCAAAGAAATCCACCCCCGATGGGGACAGCGACACAAACACAGCTCCCGGTGGCAGAGAGGATGAAAATGAATCACTCTTACCGAACCTGGAGAAGACAAAAAAGAGAGAGAGAGCAGGACTGGGTCACCCTGCTAACTGGGCATGTCCCCAGAACATCACCCCTGGGGAAGGAGGGGCAAGCTGCTCAGTGAGAGCTGTGAGGCCCTGGGCTGTGGGCGAGGGGGGCTGAGGGAATGGGGGGCGTCTCCTCCACGGGAAGGGCTAGAAGCACCCCCTCAAGAGGGCAGCGAAGCTACAGCTGTGCAGGCTGATACACGGGCTTCTCTGAGCCTCGCCAGCCATCCCGCACGGTAATTGGAGCACCCCCACTGCACGCACGGCTGAGGGAAGAGGGGCTCTGAGTCTGTATGGGGCGGGGGCAGGAGCGCTCGGGGTCCAGGCAGGAGAAGGGGTCAGTCTGCCGGAGAGGAAATGGCCGGGGCAGGAGGGCAGGGCAGACTGTGGTGAGACACCAGGCAGGTCCAGGTGGGGACATGCCCTGAGCAAGGCTGTCGCAGGACGAAGAAAGCTGGGAGACCCGGGCCATTCGGACGGCCCCCGGGGCTCCCTGCGGGCTGTCGGTGGCCTGAGTGTCCACATCAGTGCTACTTCTGGTGGCTCTGTGGAGACTCGACTCAGAGGCCCTGGGTCCCAGCCCAGCCACCAGCCATGGGATCTGAGGCAGTGGTCACCTGCCTGCGGCTGTTCTCTGCCTGGAGCCAGGATGAGGCCAGAGCCCTTCTAGTGCCCTTTTTGGGAGAAAATGAGAAGCAGGCACCTGGGTTTTGCCCACTGAGATGCCCTCCGATTCACACATGTCTGCGTGTCATCCACACAGCGGTCGTCACTGTGCTCTCTCAGACAAGGGCCCAGAGGGAAGGAAGGCTGCGTCCCTTCCAGAGGAGCCGGCTGGGGGCTGGGGAGGGGGGTCCAGCGCCCTGCAGGACAGCCTGATCGGGGTTTCTCTCCTCGGGTGACACACTCAAAACCATCAGCTAAGGGGACTAAATGGTAACGGGAAAAAATATAATAAAGATAAAAAATTTAAAAAACATCAGAGATATCCAGGATCCATCCCATGAGGGGGCCAAGGCAGCCTGCACTGGGACCGGGGACAAGTCCCCTCGAGACTGGAAAAGGGCTGACCTGTCCAGGTCAGACAGGAGCCACGGCCCAGGGGCACAGAAGGGTGACAGGTACCTGGAGAAAGCTCTCCCCTCCTCCGCCCAGCCCACAAGGCTACACTGACAAGGATAATTGTTGTAGTAACGAAAGCGACAATGAACTCAATGTCCACTGGGGGGGGGGGGAGAAGTTAGTTAAAGATAACAATGGAATGACATAAAAGTGTGAAAAAGATGAGACATTTGGGTAATTATAAATAAGTACAAACCTAATAACCTGGCTGCTCCTGAGAGGGAAGCTAGGTGACTCAGGGAAATGGGAGGGGTCACTTTATACTCTGTGTCCCTACAAAGCTTTTTGCATTTTAGACTATGTGACTGTTATTACCTATTTAAAATACATAGAGAAGAAATTAAAAAATAAGAGAGTAAGGTATAAGGTACTTCAAAAAGTACTGACAAGAAGCTCCCAGAAATATCAAGGGGAGCTGAAAAACAGACCACAGCAGAGTGCAGGGCGTTCGTGAACATCAGAGGTCTTGGCAGCTACTCCAGTTCCCTTTGGGGCACGAGAATCACATTCCTCGGTCCCTTTGGGTGGGATCACGAACGGTGAGCGGAACTTTCGGGAAACAGTGTTTAATTGTCAGTGTGTCCCATATGAAAATCTTTTTTCTGCTGCCACAGTGGAGTGTCCCAGATGGTGGCTGTCCATCAGCCTGGGACCCGGAATGAGGCTGACCCATGATGGACAGGCAGCACAGGCAGCAGAGGCCAGAAATAAGTCTTTGTTTTAAGACCCAGGGGTCATCTGCTGCTGCAGCGGAACCCAGTCTATCCCCTGACTGGTACAGGGCATCGTTTCACTCGAGTGTGTGTGTGTGTACACGCGTGCACACGTGTGCAAGGAACCTAGCAGAACTCGGCCTGAACCTTAAGGTAGCCGGGTGAGTGAGCTAAGGGATGGGCACCTTTCACTTTGTACTGTGCATACTCACATATTGGTTGATTTTATGTCCCTTTAAAACTGAGTCTGTGTCTCCTCACAAAGAGAAAACTGTAGGCGGGCCTCTCCGTGGACGACCAACCCGGCACCCGTCTGGCAGGAGCACTGCTCACCTCAGTGCGGAGACCTCATCGATGCGGTTCCCCAGCTGAGACTCGTGGGACTTGCTCCGGGTGAGTGTGGGAAAGCTGGGCAGCAGCTGGAAGACCTTGCGGCTGGGCGGGGGCGGCGTCCTCGGCGGCTTCAGCTTGGTGTGCCGTCGCAGCTGGGGCGTGGTTGGGGGGGTGATGAAGCTATGCAGGGCGCGGGGGGTCAGCCGGCCGCTGGCGTGCAGGGGGATACAGGTGTCCGTGAGGCCCTCGCTGGGGCCGGGGGTTGGGAAGTCCGAGGTGGGCAGGGCTGACACGGAGACGGAGCGTGGGCCCTGGGCACTGCTGCCCACCCTGCCCAGCTGGGAGCTCCCCGGGGCCCAGGGCAGGCCGGCCGGTGAGAGGGTATCTGCCGAAGGCCCTGAGCCACTTTCCCGCCGGGCATCCGCCGAACTCCAGCTCGAGTCCTCCTTGTGTTCCCCTCCTGTGGGCCAAGAAGTGAGTCATGGAAGGCTGGGGCCTGGGCCCCAGGCGGTCAAACGCCTTGTTCAAGGTCACACAGTTCCTCAATAGAAGGCTTCAACTACCGCCCTTTACCTGGCGTATAAAGGCTCGCCCCACATTTTCTTCCGCCTTTCCTAGCTGACAGTGAGGCCACCGGTGTGGACATTCCGTTTTACAGAGGGAAAAATGAGGTCCAGAGAGGGGCTGGCTTGTGCAGGGCGGCTACTGGCAGGCCTGGGAGGAGCAAGCCAGCAAAGCCAGCCCCAAAGTGGGCGCCGTCAGAGAGGGAAGTGGTGACTGACCTTTGGAGAGTCAGGAAAGAGAAGCTGGGGTGTGTACAGGGATAACTCTACTTTGAGAAAACTCAAATGTCAGGAAGAGGGGCCGCACCAACCTTCTGACAGCAAATTGCCCTGGGAATTTGCTAGAAAAGAGATCCAGCTAGAAAGGGATCAGCAGCTACTGAGAGGAGCCGGCCAATGACTTCCAGCTGCCCCCACAGTGACCCTCGCCTGAGCCCCCAAGGCCTCGGGGCTCCGCAGGGTTCCAACTCGGTGGCACAATCTGTCCATTCTTTCAAGCACATGCTGGACGCCAGGTATTAAGGCACAAAAAAGACACACCCACTGAGCCTGTAGAGTCTCGTGAGCATAGTGAGTTGGGTGCTGACATAGAGACGGTGGGGAGAGAGGAGCACAGGGGAGGAGGACCCTCACTAGCCCGGGGGTGAGGGGACTCCCCAGCGGAGGTGTACCAGGCAGAGGGAACCGAGTGGGCAAAGGCAGGGGGCGTGCAGCACCTTCTGGTAACCACTCGGAGTTCCATGTGCCTTGACCGGTGAGGATGAGACGGGCAGACATAAGAGATGAAGTTGGAAGGCCAGCTCAGAAGGAACCCTGGATGTCTCGCTAAGGACTTCAGTTTTATCCTTACAGGAGACGGCATGGGGGGCAGGGAGCAGGGACCCCATCTAGAGACCCTTTTGTGGGGAAGAAGACACCTCCCTCCTCATGTTTATTAATGAGTACACAGTACAGGAAGACTGTTTCTTAAGATGAAATGAGCTTCTACCCTGGAATCCTGCTGTGTGCCTTGTACCCTGTCTCCCCGCATCCTCTCAGCACGCACGGTCGCTGAGGCTCAGGGAGGCCACGAGCGCTGCTGAGGTCAGCCAGCCAAGCAAGCAGTGGGATGGGAGCCGAGCAAGCTGTCCTGACCCCAGCGCTGGCCTCCTCCCCCAAGAGTGTCAGTTCTGAGTAACCACAATGGCATGGCCTCGGGAGGCCATGAGCTCTCTGTCACCAGAGGGAGTCCTGCCCACCCAGCCACACATCGGGTGCTGCGGTGCAGAGAGATTAACCTGCGTCACTCTGAGGGTTTCTGTGCGCGGCCCACCCCCTCCTCTAAGACCCTCCCTCTTACTTCACTGCACGGCAACTCTCTCTTCATGAGCCAACCTGGCAGCGTGAGCTACTCAGCCTGCGTGTTCCTGGGGCTTGCTCCATTGGAACTGCTGCCATGGCTTAGTTTCACTCACTCACCAACCTACAGGCGGCACTGACACGTCTCTGGGTCAGGGGATGAAAGAATGAGTCCCTCGAATCCATGGGTACGTCTGCCACCAACGGAACATGCCCCAGGTTCTCCAAACTGCCTACTGGCTATGACCACTGCCCAGAGCCAGCTTAAGAGGGACAGTCTCACTGCGCGCGTGAACACCAGTCAGTCGGCACTGGCTCCTGAGAAAGACCCTGGAGTCGCGCAGCAGGAACAGCCTGGGGACTGACTAGTGACAAGAGCTGTGAACGAACAGGGAGCATCGGCCGTGTACCAGCCACTGGCACAGAGAAGCACCCTTCACTCGCCTTCAATACCGGAGACCACGAGGGAAAGAACTTCCACACTGCTCATCACACGACAGCCTGATGCTGAAAAACACCTGATACGTCACAGGCTCTGTTCTAAGCACTTGGCCGTAACTAACTGCATCCTTGCAACAACCCTAAGAGAGAGGTGCTATTATTACCTCCATTTCACAGATGAGGAGGCCGAGGCACGTGGGGTTAAATCAGTGACCCAGCTCCTTCTGGCTGTCCATGACTGAGCGAGGCTGATGCTAGGCTGCTCTCACCAAGCCCGGCTGTGTGCAATGAAGACCCTGTTTGCACGGTTTGCATGGTCCGAGAGACGGGTGAACGTTAGTGCCCACCCAGTCCACAGTGCCCTGCAAGTGTGGCTGCCACTGAGCAGTCCCACTCGGGTGGGGTGTAGCCAGGACCCGTTTGGGGATGTGGGGACACCACAAGCTGAGAATGAATGAGAGGGAAGGACCCAGAAAAGACCCTGCCCCGAGGGGCCTCCTCCAGGGCTTAGTGGAAAAAGCACCCCTGGGGAGGAACTCAAATTCCAAGCCCAGACCCGCTACACGCCAGCGTGGGGACCCAGACGATCCGCCCAATGTTGTCCCATGTGCCAGCCATTAAAGGAGCTTACCACCACCTCTCAAAGGGGTGTTGCCACACGAGTGTCAAGTGCCTGGCTTAATAAATCAGTGCTTCCAAGTTAGTGACCTCCCTATCCTGGCACCCACGACGGGCAGACAGCAGCCTCCCTACCACGATGGGTCGCCACCACGCGACAGCTGGTTCCTCCGCAGTCCTCACAACTCTGGCATATGGAGGGAGGGGTGACACATGACTCCCAGATTTCTGCTGGGATGGCAAGTACTTTTAAATGTCCACAACGTGGGAACAAACCAACCAGCATCGAAGACTTAAACCCCCTCTCTGCCACCAACCCCTCTGTGTGTGTGTGCGCCCAAGCCCTCGCACACCCTTGGCCTCCCCTCTCTGGGCTCAGCCTCCTCCTCTGTCAAGTATGGGGACCAGAATGCTGGCCACGTCTCTGCCATGTTTCTGCGTCTTTGGCACCTGCCGGGAGGGCTGGCGTGTCGGGGTTTTCTGCACTGAGGGAAGCTCGGCTCCACAGAAGCTCTGTGTCCGGAGGAGGGCTTGGCACATCGGGGCTGGGGAAGAAATTCAGCCCAATCCTCCCCAGGAGGAAAACCGAGCAGAATATAAACCTCAGTGCCTTCCAGAGATAAAGACAGGTGACTCAGATAATTAAAAAACAGGGTTAATTCTACTCATTAGGCTCATTTCACAGCCTAATCTGTATGGTTGGTAGAGGGAGCGTTAAGGCAGGGTATTAGAAGCTGTTTCCCAGGCAAGATCCAGGAAGACAGCAAACAACCCCCGGGAGCTGATCTAATGCCAGGAGCACACCCTCCGCCTGGGGGCCGCCGTGCACACACCTGGGGCTGAGGCACTGCAGTTTGTCGAATCCTGCTTCACTCGGGCTGGGCCCACCCTGGCGTGAGCCTTGTGAGCACACAGCCCAGCGATGAGGTCAGGAGGCAGGGAGGGGACTGGGTGTGACCTGGGGTGAGGAGTGGGGCTGGAAGGCAAGGAAGCTGCTGGAGGGTTCGCGGACCTAACAAATCTGCTTTAAATGGGGGCAATTGTGCAGGGCCCGCCCAGCAGACCAGCCTGGGGTTTCTAACAATGGCTAAAGCGTCCCTGCGTTAGTACTGGCCAGACCAGTCCAGATCCAAGCCCTCTGACTCTGTCTTGGGGTCAGGTCCATCACGCATTTTCTGAATATCTACTCTGACCTTTCCAAGCTACCCCAGGAACCCTGGGCTACACCTGCTCGCCACCCCCACCATCTGCCTCGGCAAAGAGCGTGGCCCCCAGGGAACCAGGCCAGGCCTGGGGAGGGAAGGCGGGTGTCTAGGCCGAGGTGCAGGGACAGGGAGCCAAGGGGGCTGGCTCCAGTGCCGGGAGGCAAGCCCTACCTACCCAGGCCTGTCACCTTCCGCAGGCAGGTGAGGGCGTACTGCAGGCGGCCGCACTCCTCCACACTGGCCCCGCAGCGCCGCAGCGTCTCCTTCACCTTGGCCTCGTTCATGTCCAGCAGGGCATCCAGTGTGAGCTCTCGGAGGATCTCCTGAGGAAGCACAGAGGGACAGGCAGAGAGCCCGTGAGCACTCAGGCGCCCCCACACCCTCTTCATGCTCCCCCTGGCCGGGGCCGGCCTCCCGCTGAGTGGCAGGGGCCAGCTGCTGGTGGGCCCGCCTCCGACCTGAGGCCGCCACTTGTCCGGGGCTCAGGCAGCCAGCTCTCACCCCACCCCCCCCAACGCTCCCCCCCCGAGGAGACAGCAGCTGAAGGGTGGGGGGTAGGGGGGAGGAAGGCAAAAGTCTGAACAGTTCTGATCAGGGCACGTTGCCCCTCTTCTTTCCTTTTATTCCACTGCCCAGAAAAATGACGATTCATGACAACTTTTAGAATGACAAGTACTTGAGATGAAGACAGCCCTTTCCAGCAGTATCAGAATCAGACCGGATTCCAAACAACGCTGGCTCAGTGAGAAACCAATTAAAAAGAATTAACCCTCAACAAGCACTGCATGGGAACTTACTACCTGGCTTTATTTAATTCTCAGTCAAAGCCTGTTCAAGGCAGAGGAGGGGACATGAGAGACGAGAAGCTGGAAAGAACACACGCAGACTAAGACTTGGAAGATACAGGGGCCGTATGAAAAGGAATGTGGGTTCTCTCACTCCCAAAAGGCTCTGGAAGACAACGGCCCCGCAGTGACCTGCAAGGAAGGGGGACTCTCACACCTATGGCCACCAGGGACTGGGTTCTGCTGACAACCTGAATGTCCTTAGACATGGTTTCTTCCTGAAGCTTCCAGGTAAGAGGCCAGCCTGGCAGACACCTGGGCTGCGGCTTGCTGAGATCCCCAGCAGGAAGCTGCCTGGACGCCGCCTGGACGCCGCCAGCGGCCTTCCTCCTACAGAACTGCAAGCTCATAGATGGGGTTTTAAGCCACTAAGTTTGTGGTGACTTATTACACAGAAAACAAATACAAAAAGTGGTTATTTGAACTGAGGCCTAACTGGCTTCAAGGCTTGTACTCTTTTCCCTCATCAAGGAGAGAAGAAACCCCTCTGGTTCTGATTACTTTGAGCCACATGTGATACCAAGCCTGTGTTTGCATAGGTGGTTCGCTAGTTATCAATATGGGGGAGGGCAAAGGCGATCAGACATCATTAAGCATCATCAACTAGGGAGCACAAGCCTGCTTGCTTCACCAGAAAGCCACAGCTTCACACACGCCCCAGGGAAACAGTGGTCCCTTCCCTGCAGACTCCTGGGGCGGGGGGTAGAGGGACAGAACAATAGAGCAGGAGGCCGGCACATGCACAGTAGGAGCCAAAATGGCAACTTAGAGGCCCTGTCAGTCTGGCCTGGGGAAAGAATAGATTGGTTAGGAGGTGGAGCCATCAGAAGCCTGCAAAAACTTCGGAAATTTGATTGGTTATTTTGAAAAAGCACCAGGTATGCCCCAAGCCCAAATTAATAAAATAAGCTTAACAGAGAAGCCCCTTCTCTCTCTCTCCCCCTCCCTTCCTAACACAGGTCTAGTACCCCATGCCTTGCGGAATTTCGTAGTTGTCACAGGGGTTTGGCAGCCATCTGGGACCTGCAGCGGAGCACAGGGGCTCCAAAGGACTAAGCGTTAATACGGCACAGAATCTCTGGACACTGGCCCTATTTCTGGTCCCGAAGAAGGCAAAACTGCACTTTTTCCATGGTGGGATAGACGAAGGTAAGATATCGGACACCCAGGGCAGCCCTCTATTTTCACCCAAATAAACCTTACCACCGGACCTCATTCTCCCATGTGTGAGTCTCCCAAAATGCTTTGCTCGTGACCCTGTGAAAGAGCCCCAGTCTCCACTGGCAGCACCTAAAGTAGACACACAGAACAATGGGACGTGTCCCCGGCCCCAGGTGGTGTGCGGAGTGACCGATGAAAACAGTCACTGCACCGCGATGAGCTGCGACCCAGCAGAGAGACAGCTCCGAGATTACGGGACCAAGGGTGAGATCTGGGTTTTTCCTTCTTTGGCCCCTTTTCTATATTTTCCAAGTTTTCCACAGCAGAGAAGGCCAGACACCCCACATCACTCGATTCATATGAAGCTCACAGTTCTTGAGAATCTAAGCTGGTTCTCATCGATTTTAGCAAGCTGTGTCTAATTTTATTTTAAAAGAATAACATTACTGTCAGCCTATCCAATTTGCTGTGTATCTTAGACTCAGGTGTCAAAACTGAACCTGATGAAGACACTGGCTGTGAGTCGTTGGGGCAAACGTTTGGGGCTTTGTGATGCTGGGGGCGGGAGCCACGGCTGAGGTCTGGGGCGTGACCCCGAGTCTGCCCATGTCCCACCCTCCCAACCTTTGGGTCTCAATCTGTATATTCTTCAGTCTCCAGAGTTGTGGGCAAGAACCTCATAGCTGTTTAGAGTGACTGAAACCAACAGTTAGAAACAAACACACAAGCAAAAACACCAAGAAGCTCATCACTGGCTGGACAAACCCGTGGTTGTGGGAAACCCTTCCAGATGATAAAACTAGAGTGTCAGAAGGTGACAATACGAACACAGAGCGGGCTGATTAGATAATGGTCCAGGGCAGAACCTGTCCATCAGTGCACTTCCCTTTATTGCCCTCGACAACATTCCGCACCAAAATGCAGTTGTGACATCTTTTCCCCTCGTTTTACTATGAAAAGCAAGGTGGCAATGTTGTCAGGGGACGGACAGATGCCAGCGATGCTGGTCTTCACTCGGGTGCGGGAACAGCCCTCCGCCTCTCCCTGGAGTGTCCTCGGCCCTCCCGCCACCCCTGCGTTTCCCAAGGCTGTGAGGACTCGGTGGGTTTCCCAGAGGAGATTCCAGCATCTGCCTGGTGTGGGAGGAGGGAGAGAGCCAAGGGCAAGGGGCACCAACGAGCCTAGAAGTCCCATCTCCAATCTAACTTAGAGGCAAGGGATTGTTTTTCTTTATTTATATTCCTCTCTTCCCCAGCCACACCAAGTTTCAGTTTTTCAAACATAGTAACTACAGTTATTATTACAAACCCCTTGCCAGTATGTGGTGCCCAGTAGTTCATGTACTATCCCCATTCGAAACAATTCAGCAAGGATAAGCTGTTAGGCCCATTTCACTGAGGCTCAGAGACCTCATGCAAGCCTGCCAAAAACCCAGGCATGGCGTCCCCAACGCTCCTTCGACCCTTCCCACCCAGGGTCCCGCTTACACTGGAGCTGCCCCGCCTCTCCCAGGATGAGCGCCACTCCCGGAAAGTGAGCTCTGCATGTCCGCCAGAGAAAGGAGCGTGCTCAGCGCACCACCCTCACCAAGGTTTCTGCCTGTTCCTTCCGTTCTCTAACCCCTCCTCCCTGCAGGGCTGGATCCCTGAGCTGGGGAGGGGGACCAGCCCTGTCCACCTAAAAGCTGCAAGTCAGTGAAGCTATCCATCCAGCAGTCAGCAGGCTACCTGGTGGAGTGAGGTCTCAGACACACAGCCTCAGGGCCAGAGCTTCGGAAGAAATGAGATCGGAGGGAATGAGGCCTCCTGGAGCCACCTTTGGATGGAGACACGTGTATTAGAACCACTGCTCTCACCTCGACTGGACGGCGAGAGACCCGGCAGCAGCACGGGTGATACTGGTCAGAAACCCACCCCCCTCACGGTGCTGGGGCCACAGGGCAGACTATGGGAGGGACGCCAGGTCTCTGGTTTTAAAGCAGCCTGAATTTTTATGTTGTTATTAGTATTATTATGTTAGTCCTTGCCCAAGAATATGTTTATTGATTTTAGAGAGCAACGGAGAGAAGAAGGGGGGAGGAGGACAGAGAGAGAGAGAGAGACACACACACACATATAGGTTGGTTGCCTCCTGCATGTGCCCTGACAGGACCGAATCCGCAACCTTTGGTGTATGGGATGATGTTCCAACCAACTGAGCAATCCAGCTAGGGCTGAATTGTTATTTTAAAATAGAAAGTTTAGCCCTGGCTGGTGTGACTCAGTGGACTAAGCGCCAGCCTGTGAACCAGACTGTCGCTGGTTCAATTCCCAGCCAAGGCACATGCCTGGGTTGCAGGCCAGGTCCCCAGTGGGGGGCATGCAAAAGGCAACCACACATTGATGTTTCTCTTTCTCTTTCTCCCTCCCTTCCTGTCTGTCTAAAAATAAATACATAACATTTTTTTAAAAAATAAAGTTTTGCACGGTGGCAACTGATGCAAGTCTGTGCGGACCAAACAATCGTACCCGTGGCTACACGGAGCAGCCCCCAGACTCCCACATGGAGACCCTGTGTGAAGAATCTGACACCTACCAAACATCTAACCAGTGGCTTCTAAAGCTTTACTTCTGTAGGCAAACGGGGAGGGATGTGGCCCAGCAGCAAGCACCTTGGCAACACACCAAGAGCGGCCAGGTCTCGGTGAGGTGCCGGCCCCGGCCCAGGGACCCCATCACGGAAACAAAGCACCCAGCCTTCCAAATCCTGCAAACGGCTTTGGACTGGAAGTCATTTCAATCAAGAGGGGCGAGTGCCTGAGGCAGCCGTGCTAAGCAGGGCCACCAGCTCTTGCCTGGGCCTCCAGCTAGACAGGAGTCGGGCTGGGCTGGTGACTGCCCAGGCCCCGGAGTGGCCCTGCTGTCTCCCCCACCGTGACTCGGGCAATGCCCCTCAGCAGCTCAGCACCCCCAAACCTCACAACTGGGTGTGACTTGCCCACAGTGCCAGGCACAGCCAAGTCTGAGTTCAGCAGTTGTTTCCAACCAGAGTAATCCACACACACATTTTCTGGATCCTCTCGCAACCAAAAGCAAATGAGGCAATCAGTTTAACCACCTGCTGCAGGCGAACTCACAGGCCTGCTGACAACATGGCAGGTAGCAGAGTGGCTCTGACACCCTCTCAGGTCTGAGAGGCCCCAAGAGAGCCTCCCAGCTGCCTGCAGGTGCAGGGAATATGGCCTGCTGCCCCAAAGCCAAGGGCACAGAACCTGGAGTCCTGGGGAAGGGAAGAAGGCAGAGAGGCTATATGCTCTGAGAAGAATCATTGCCCACCCC